GCTCAGCGACTGCATTTGAATAAGAGATATAATAATACGAAGAAATTATCACTATGGATGTATAAAGATCGTTTCAAATTCATTTCGACAAAGTTCCTTCTAGTAAACTACAATCATTCCTCAGAACTTATGCTTTTCATAATAAAGAGGTTGGATATTGTTAAGGAATGAATTATATTGTAGGATATTTGTATTTGACATTTGAAGATGAGGAAGTAACCTATATAGCATTCGATTATATTATGAATAACTACTTTTCGTAATATTTTGAAAATGAATTTGAGATGCTGGTATTTATTATATATATTATTTTTATTAGAAAAAAGTATTCTACTAATATGAGAGATTGTTATTCTTATTTTTACCTAATTTGTATCATCATTTTAAAAAAGTAAATTTCATTAATTATTAAAGTAAAAAGTCGATGCATCTTATTATTTAACTGCATGGGTTATAACTGTTTTTAGTCAGGTATATCAGTTTACATTACAATCAGCATTACTAAATATTGTATGGGATATATTCATCATTTAATAATGGAAAGGTAATGAATCAATTTTATTCAAGGATTTTACAAATGCGTCTTATTTTTGTTGTATTTTTATTAAAAAGAACTACTATAATTAGAATTTGATCAGATTCTCCATTTTTTGAGTGAGATCATAAAAAATGAATTGTTTAGTCTTAAAACGGAGTTATAAGTTTAAGAATATATTTGTACTAAGTTAAAGATTCCCTCAAAACCTCTAAAAGGAATAATCACAAATTAATTTAATGTTACAAATAGTTTATTGTAATAATTGGAATAGGAATTCAATTGCTTTTCAACAAACTTAGAATCATAATTAAAATAATTTAAATATAAATGAAATATATTTAGATTCATTAAGATATCCATTTTTATTTATTATAATACTTGTATGATTATTGAAGATTCCAAATAAATTGGTTATTTAAGCTGTTTTCATCTAAACCAATATCGTCATCATAATTATCCTTTATAGCTTAAACCAATTTGCTAGGAGACTTTTCAATTATTTCATATGTTATTCCTCTTATATTTGATGAGTTAGATGATTAATTGAGATTCTATCTTAAATGAGATCCTTTAGATTTTAAATTGCTAATATGTAATTCTAAGAGTATTGATAATTCCGAAAAAGTTATCCTGCGAATAGGATCTTTTTCAAGCATTCTTTATACCATTCTTTAAGCAGAGGAAGAGATATTTTTCCATTCATCCAATTAAAATCTGATCTAACATTATTTATTTCTTTCTAGTAGCACTTTTATAATAAGATACTAATTCTACCTTCATAATTAGTACTTCTAAATGGAAAATTTCCGCAAAGTAAAATATAAAATAAAATTCCTAAACTGAATATTTCGCAATTCTCTGTGTAGGGAGCCAAATCAAATAGTTCTGGTGCAATATATCCTGGTGTTCCTTATTTATTTATTAGTTAGTTCTTATTTATTTTCTCGGCAAACCCAAAATCAATTATTTTTACTAATATTGGATTAAATTGAGCAATTAAAATATTATCCAATTTTATGTCCCTGTGCACATAGCCGCATCAATAAATTATATTATATATAATACCTATGTATTTCTTTTAACCCTAAAATGATTTAATGACAAATCTCGCTTGACATCAATTCATGAATTTCATTTTATTTAATCAAATTTGATAATGTTCCTCCTTAAATGTACTCTAAAATTAAAATTACAACGTCTTCTAATTAAATCACTTCATACAGTTCCACAATGAATTCTGACTTTGCCATTTTTAAAATTTAGCACTCAGATATCACAAAATCCTATATAATAATAAAAATTACTCTCATTTAATTGCCTAGAATCTTCTATTATAAAGATTAAGAATAAATTTTTGCTGCAAACTTTTTATTTCTTGATTCTTCTGGTATCAATTGAGAGACCAAAAAGACAGAACTAAAAGCACCTTAATCTATTGGTTCCAGGATTTTATAAAATCCTTCAAAATTCTAAGAAACCGAAAATTGTGCTAATTTCTTATACCAATTTATTGTGCATGTTCTATACTTAAAATAAATAAATAATAATACTGATTTTCTGGATTCCAGATATATAATTAACAATTTTAATATTTTTAAACGCGAATGGCAACAATTTTTTATTGATTATGATCCTCTTCATTAGTTAATTCAATTTTTTTTATAAAAGTTTAAAGATTCAATTGTATTTTACCTTTTATTTTAGAATCCTAGTACATTAATGTTCCAGATTTTAGTAATAAATAGGTGTATTTTTTGGGTACAGATTTATTTTTTCCAATTCTCATTAGGTTGTCTTTTATGATTATTAAGTTTGCATCTACCTTCTGGTCTATTTTTTTCTCCCAAAATGTATTATTACGTGATTGTCCATATTTAAAGATAGGCCAATCAATATTATCTATTTTTTCAATTTGGAGAAAATTTTTAGTTTTTAACATAATAAATAATTAAATGAGAGTACGCTTACAATCAGAATTAGTAAAAGATCAAATTATGCCAGCCTTAGAGACTTTAAGGAAATCGACTAAATTTTTCTCTCCTTTCACTTAAAAATAATTGATTTTGTTTTAGGAGTACTTCAGATTTTTAAGTTTCAAAGAGAAAACATAAATTACAAGAAGAGGGGAGCCAGTAGATTTTCTTGGATTTATTTTGAAAGGATAGGTACATGGCTTTGTAGAGAATCAGCATAAAATAACATTGGCAGAAGGGGATTGTTTAGGTCATATGGCTTGTATGAAATTAGCAGGGTATCAAATAAATTCTTATATTTAAGATGTGAAGTTTAGCAAATTGACTATTTTGCAAAAGAAGATGGATATATAGCAATAATAAGATTGGATGATTTAAGAACTTTATAGAAACGTGATTCAGAGTTCTCAACCTTTATTTATAAACAAATTTCACTTTTTACATTGAATTCAGTCTCATAATAATATTTAGGTTAAGAATATTAGAGTATTCCTGAGTAAACAATAGTTGAAACAACAACTAAAAAAATAATGTTTATGTTAGATTAATTAGGTGTTAAACCAGATCCTGAGCCTAATAAAAAAAAAAAAGAAAAATAAATAATGGAAGAACCAAGAAATCTTAGATTCTTTTGGAATCAATTAGAATAAAGAGATAAGCGTGCTTTTGTCTAAAATTGCACTTTGATTGAAACAAAAACTTAAGAGCTCTTAGTCAGAGCTCATTAAGCATCAAATGTTTTTTATATAGTTTTAGATGGTGAATTAATTGAATTTCAATAGAATTAGCCATCTGTTATATTCAAACAAGGAGATACCATAGGATTAAAGCAATTTCTGATTAATGCAAATTAAGAAAACAATATAATTTCTAGAATGAAATGCTTATTATTAAGAATAACAAAATCAAATTTAGATGATATAGCAACTGTTTCAGGACAAAGTGTTTGTTCAATTATAACTATGTTAACAAGATTTGAAGCCTAGAAACTTAAGGAATTATTTGAAAAATAATTCAAAGATGAATAACAAGGATTATAAAGAAAGGTGGTGGCTTTAGTAGATGAATTATCTCATACATTTAAATCGGTGAGTAAAAAAGATTAATAAAGCGCGTCCTAATTGATGAATAATTTTTTTGAAATTGATGTGAACAAAATGAAATAGGATGATAAAAGTGCAGCATCGCAATTAGAAAAATAAATAATTGCTCCATTATACTTGTTAGATGTATATAAAGATCTGGTTGCAAAAAGATATTATTAGCCAAACGAAGTTAAGGATAGGAAGGATCCTATGTTTGAAAGTGGATTAAGTATATTTATCAGAGACAAGCTAAGTGAGTAAAGGACATAAGCCTAAAAAAAAAAGGAGGAATTGAAAAAAGCTCGTAAATTGGGGAAAACTATTAAGGAAGAAGATGATGATATAGAAATACACATGGATCCAAATTAATTGGTATTAGAAGAACTTAATAATGATTATTATAAGATCGTAGATGAAAGAGATAAATTTTAAGAATATACTTACTTATTGGAATAGCAAATAAAATAAATGAAGGATGAATTTAAGGAGATGAAAGAAGAGCATTAACGGATGTAAACTCAAATTAGAAAGAATGAAATGCATAAGGAATTATTAACCTTGGATTTAGCTTCATAATTGTTGCAGCCAACTGATAGAACAACCAAAAAGAAACATACATTATATGATAATGTAAATTATAAATCCTATTAGTATCCAACAGTATTTGGTACAAGTTCAAGAAAACAAAAAATTCAAAAAAACTGTTCAAGTGGCAGAGAAAGTGTTAACAATGAGTTAATTGCATAAATTGTAATCTTGATCTTCTAACGATTATCAATATTTATATTTCTTTAATAAATGGGCCATTTATTTTTCTATATTATGCTTAGAATTTTTCAATTAGAAAAAATATATTATTTTTTATTTTTATTTATGTAGTAAAGCGAACCATTAAAGCTTGATGAGAACGATGATTAAGAATTTATCAACTTGTAAAATACTCATTAAACAGGCGAAGAATCACAAAACAAACTCAAATCTAATTTATTGAAATTGTAAAAAATATATTAAGAATGCAAATGCCCATCATGTTAATTATTATTTGAAGAGCCTATAACTATAGTTTGTGGTCATACTTTCTGTAGGGAATGTATTATTCGATCAGTTAATCTAAAACCCTAATGTCCAGAATGCTTGTATTTATAAAATTAATAAATTAGATATCCTATTACAAATATTATCAATAACATTCAAGAAAACTTTTTAGTTAAATCAGTTGTAAAAGAAATTAATGAATTATTTATTGCATAATAATAAAAAAAAGTTAAACCTCGACTTTTTGATCAAATTATTGCTAAGCGAATTTAAGAGAATATTATAAAACAATATTTGATTTTTGAAACTAACTCTTTAATTATTCCCTACACTATTTAAAATGTGAAACTCCATATAAACTAATTCAAAGATTTAAATGAAGACTAAATATATAAAATCTTAAAAAGAGACTCTTTAATATTACTGACATATCCTAATAAAAACCAATCAATTTAAGAAGTAAATTTATGATTAATTCTTGTAGACTGCTACTTTGGTTATTGTTATAAAGGCTGTAATAAATTCTAAAATGATTGATTTAAATGTTCACGTTTAATAGTAAATGAGAGTATTACAAATCAAATAAGAAACATCTCATATAGAAAAAGAGATCACATTAAATATTGCAAAGGTTTAAGAAATCAAAGAGGAGCCAATAATTTTCAATTTCTAAACTGATTAATAGATTAAATATTTAATTGATACTGTAAGTTAGTAATTGGCTTATCATTTACCTGAAAATATTGACTCATATACTAATAAATATTTGAAAGATTTTTTCCATAAACTTCAATTATTTGAAATACTTAGGAGTAATATATTAAGGAATGAGAAAGCCTTAAAACATATTAGTTATGTTATCCCCTCTATATTACATTTAACAGATCAAGAGAGAACTAGAATTTTCAATTCCAATAATAGCATTGAGAGACTGATTCAAATTACCAAAATATTGGAAAGATTTTAATATATTACAAACCCATTAATGGTTTTCAAAATTCCAGGCGACAAGGAAAGAATTAATTACTAAGCTGAATTTCTAATAATTATTGTATTATTGATTCTTGCATTTTATTACAGAGTCATCGGATTCTGAGGAGTTATTATTTGTTTAATTATAATAATAAATAAAATGAATAATTAATTTGAGATTATAAAAAAGGTTTGGGCATCAAAGAAAATTTTGTCCTTTTTTAAATATCAAAGACTTGTGAATAAAAGGTTGAATGAGCTAATAAAAGAATAAGAACCAAAAATTCAAATTTTTCTTCAGTTACAAGAAAATAAAGAGTAATTAGGGAATTCAAATAAGTAATATACAAAAGTATCCACTAAAGCTTTAGAAGATGAAGTAAGCCTTCTGAAACCATTAATATTACTCAATAATAGAAACATAATTAACAATTAGAAGTATTTACTAGATATTTTATCAATAATTCACTATTCTACAAATGACGACGAATCTACTTATGTAGAAAACACTTTAAAGAATCCAAGCAAAGTTAATGAGCAGAAATAAGTAGTATTTTTATCTAATTTTTAGTTATATAAAATACTAGAATTGGCTTTTGTAATTCTTTAAAATTCAATATAGGAAACAGTTTAATAATAAATTTTAATCGGGTTAGATTCCATATTAAAATCAATGATTAAATGTTCATCAAATAATCCTCAAATATTATTAACCTTGAGATAATATTAAAAGTATAGTAGGATTATGCAATGCACAACTTCTTTTTAAGGAATAAACTCTTTCATAAAAGCTATAACATCCTTTGATTGCAAATTAAAACTAGATTTGACACCAGATACAATTGAAAAAACTCTAACTAATGTATTACAACAATTAGATTGCGTAATTTGTTACAGCTCAATGACTAATCCTGTATCTATGAAATGTGGACATAGTTTTTGTAAAGCATGTATGGTTCAAGATTAGAGTAATAATTAAAAGAGATGTCCAATTTGTAGGTATTATTAATGAAATATTTAGAATGGAATAGATGGATGAGATTTACTTAAGTGAAAACAATAAATTCTTAACAAAGTTGATTTAACTTAAAAATAGCTTCTAGAGTCAGTCAGATATATGGTAAGGAGATGATACCTAAGCATAATATTATATTCACATAAAACCACAAAGAAAAGATGCTTATGAAAACAAAATTGTATTAAGAACAAAGTAATCACTCAAATATTTAATTGAGGAAGAAGTTGAAATAGATACAATGAAATTTCGATCGCTCAGCACACATTAGTTTCAATAATTATTGCAGTAACACCTTATTTTTATTCTTATCGATAAAAACGAAAATGCCTATTTGGTGAAAAATATATTGACACATATAAGAAAGAGCAAGGCTATAATTAAGGTTTAATATTAGGATAAAATCCAAATTGCGCATTAATATTACTCTCACATTTTCCTTAATATTTAAAATGTAGAATATATATTTAACTGCTTATTTGCAACAGCGATTACTTTAGAAGATCAATATATAGATCTTAGTAAGATCGAAATTCTTAAGCAATTGGATAACTCGATAAGTAATATAAAAGAATTCTTTAATCAGGTTCTTCGAAATTAGTAGTAAGATTAAACTTATTAAACTATTCTTTCATTCTTAACAATAGTAGGATTTTGGAATTTATAGAATTCAGATATAATTAGCAATTATGATGAAATGAAAAAATATTCATATCTGATTCCAAATATTTTAAGAATACCTGAAAAGGAAAGGGAGAAGATTTAGAAGACTAATAACTTAATAATAAGGTTGCAATTGATTGAAGAAAGTCTAAACAGATTCAAATAATGCTCAAACTTATTAATGATAATTAGTATTCCAACACAGAATAAAGATTCTAACAGAAATATCATAATTTTTATTGTAGTATTTTTATTATTGTCATTTACCCTATAGTTGTGATTGTCATAAATTTATATCAAATATCAATTATAATTATTCAATTATGAATCAATAATCCCTTCATGTTCCTACAACCTAAAGTAGACAATCAATCACTTATTAAACTACCTCAGGAATAGCAACTAGTACTGAAAGGTAATTATTTATATCTAATTTAGACGTATAAGTGACAATATATAAAACGGAAGAAAAAGTGTCCTTTTTGAAGATAAGTATCTACTATTGAATATATAGACGATACGAGGAAATACTTCAAGATAATCGAAAGTTGAAAGAAGTGATTGAATAATTGGATAAGGATAATTAGCAATTAAAATAAATGTCAGGGGAGAGTTATAATCTTAAATAGAAATATATGATTACTTAAGCAGAATTAGAGGCTGCATAATAGGAATTAGCAAAATTAAGAACTCAACTCTTGATGAGAAATTCTTAAGATGCCGAACAATCGACTCTCGTGACAAGATGCAAACAAGATGTATCTGCAATGACTCAACAATAAATCAAATATTAACAAGGTAATAACTTACTTAATTTCTAAGAAATATCATAGTTAAATGCTATGTTAGAATAATAGAAGAAATAGGTTGAAGAGTTTTTAAGATTAAAAAGTAAATATGAACAGGATATCCAAACATATAAAAGTAGGGCTTAGACATTAGAAATGGAGATTAAGTAAGTGAAAGAACATAAGAACTCTTAAACTTAAAATGAAATTCTAAGATTGACTTAGGAAATTGCAAGATATCAATCTGAGGTATAGATTCGATCATCAGATAAAGAATTATATGAAAGAACAATACAGACATTAAATGAGAAAATGAAGGAGATGGATATGGACATTCAGATATTGATATAAGCACATAATCAGAATCAGTTGAAACTGGAATCTGCTATGGCTGAATCAAGAAGTAATATGTAGTATCAAATTGATAAACTAAAATAAGAGATGATATTCTATTAAACTTAATGTCGATAATGGTAGGAAAAATGTCAAACTGCTGAAATATAAAAGGAGGAAAGCGAAAGAAGAATTATTTAGATGGAGATCAGAATAAATGAAACGAAAAAGTAAATTGAGTAATAGTAAAACGATAAAATATAAAGAGAAAGTTACCAAATTCATACTATTCAAAATGACCTCGAAGGTTGGAAGTAAAAGTACATTTCCTTAGAGATTAAAATGAAAGATTTTGAAAATTATAGAATGAAAATAATTGAATTGGAAGAATAATTGAATAATTTAAAAAATGATAATTATTAAAAGTAAGAGGAAGTAGAAATCCTGATTTCAGAAATTAAATAATTACAAGAATAAAATTATGGATATCGCTTAAGCATAACTTAATTAGAGAATCAAGCCAGAAACAGCATTGGAAGTGATAGATATAAATCTTAGATTAGAACTTTAGAAAACACTATTAATCAATTAAATCAACAGATAAATGCCTATAAAATTGAAACTAAAGAACTTGAGCAATAAGTGATGTATCATTAGAACAAGGACACAAATGTTGATTATTTGGTCAGAGAAAAAGATGAAACAATTTCAAAGTTGTAATATAAATTGAATAATATGGAAAAAGAACTTCGGATTATTTTTGAAGAGTAACTTAAAATAGAATAATAAGATTGGGATAGACAAAAATAATAATAAATAGATAGTCAATTAATAAAGATAACCAAAAAATATGAATCTGAAATCTCCACTTTGAAGTAACATTTTTAGTCATTAGAAATAGAGAATCAATCATTAAACAACAAATATGAACGATTAAAGAAAGAAGGAGAAATTGGTTTCTAAAGATAATCAGAAAAAGAAAAAAGTAGAATCATTGAACTTGAAAGATAAATAATTTAATTAGAGAATTAACTATCTTTTTAGAGAAAAGAATTTTCAATGAAAATTGAATAAGCTAATTAGTCTAATTTAAAGGAGTATTATGAAGCTTAACTTAAATAGATTAATGAAAAATTAATTAGGGAATAAAATTAGGTTTAATAATTGAATGATCATTTGATAATAGAATAAAAAAGTACTCTCGATTTAGAAAGAAGATACTCTAAAGAAATTAAAGATTTTAAATAATAATAGGAGAAGAGAATTGAATTTTAATAAACAACATAATATTAATTTGAATTAGATAATCATCTGAGAGACTTGGAAAAAATGAGAAAAGAATATAGAATAATTGAATAACAATATCAATAAATGGAAGTTCAGGTAAAATTATGGAAGGAAAAATTCTATGAAGAATAATAAAAGCATCAAGAAATTAGGCAATAGTATATAGAAATTAGATCTTAAATTGAATCTAATACAATTATGAATACACATTCAGACTTTGATAAATAAAGAATTTAAGAGCTCGAAATGGAATTATTTTAACAATAGGAAGAGATTAGAATTAAAGAAAAAAAATATCAAGAGTTAATTACAACATACACTTTGTAAATAGATAAGCAGAAATCTAATTTGGATGAGTTCAAGAGAATAAAACAATTAGAATATGAAATAGAATCATTTAAAAATAAATGTAGAGATTTAGACAGATAATTAAAGGATAAGTAATTGGAATTTGATGCATTGCTCTAAAGAAAGTAGGAAGTCAAACTGTAAACTATTGAAGTTTCCTCATAATCTGAAAAATTTAAGACTTAAGAATTAGAATCTTAAATAACATCCTTAAAATTGTAGTTGTAATAATTAAATAGTTCGAAGTAAGAGGTTATAAGAGAGACAATAAGAGAAACAGTTCAGATTCGAAGCGCAGAAGATATCAAGCTTATTGATTAACTAGAGGAAGAATTATAATTGTGGAAAACTAAATATTATGAGCTGGATAGAAGAAGAAATTAAGTTGTTGTTGAAACAATTAAGGAGGTTTCATCTCTTGAAAGGGATAGATAAAAGATTTATTAATTAGAATGTTAGCTTCAATAATTAGCCTAAAAAAAATAAGAAGTAATTAGGGAATATGTAACAGAAAAAATAGAGGTTCCATTAGAGTCTGATTAAATAAGAATAAGGCAATTAGAAATTCAATTAAGTAACATTCAAAGAGACTATTAAATGTTAAGTTTAAGAAAATAAGAAATTTTGAAGGAAACTATCACAGTTGAAGTTTCATCATAAGCTGATAAAAACCGCATCTAATAGTTAGAAACGCAGTTAAGCTAATTATCATCCGAATTAATGGTCTTGAGACTGAAAAAATAAGAAGTAATCAAAGAGACAGTGATAGAAAAAGTAGAAGTCTCAATGGAATCAGATAAATTGAGAATTAATCAGTTACAGGAACAGTTAGAAAGATTACAGAGAGATTATTAAATTTTAAATAAGAAGAAACAAGAGGTAATAAAGGAGACAATCACAGTTGAGGTTTCATCTTAAGCTGATAAATTGAAAATTTAATAATTAGAATCATAAGTATCTTAATTAAGAACTGAGTTGCAAATAGTAACATAAAAAAAATTAGAAGTAATAAGGGAAGTAATTACAGAGAGAATAGAAGTTGCTTGTGAAGCTGATAAATATCGAATCGAATAACTAGAATAATAATTATAGAATTTAAACAAGAGTTACGAGGTTCTCAGTAAAAAGAAGTAAGAAATAATTAAAGAGACAATAACAGTAGAAGTTCCTTCTTAATCAGATAAATTTAAGATTTCATAGCTTGAGACATAGGTTTAATAATTAAGATAGGAAATTTAAATCCTAACTTTGAAGAAATAAGAAGTTATTAAAGAAGTAGTAATAGAGAGAGTAGAAGTTCCTTCTTCAGCAGATAAATTCAGAATTCAACAATTAGAATAACAATTAAATAACCTAAGATTGGAATTGTAGGTTGTAGTATAGAAGAAATAAGAAGTTGTTAGAGAAGTAATTACTGAAAAAGTGGAAGTTAGTAAGGAAACTGATAGAAAAAGAATTTTAGAATTAGAGTCGGATTTATTTAGATTATAATAAGACTACATTAATTTGAATAAAATTAAATCTGAAATAATTAAGGAGACTTTTACAATTGAGGTACCATCTTCTGTTGATTAATTTAGAATTTAATAATTGGAGATATAATTATAATAAGCAAAGAGTCAATTAGAATAATAGTTAAATTATTCATAACAAGAATATTTTGCGTTGAACTAAAAGATGTAAGAATAAATAAAAGAAACGATTACTGTTGAAGTACCATCTGAGTCTGATAAGTATAAAATAAGATAACTAGAATCTTAATTGCTATCCATTTAAGAAGAATTAAATGAAATTCAATTAGAAAATTAAAATTTACATTTCGAAATCAGTAGATTGGAATAAGAAAATAGACGACAAACTGATATTATTTAATAATTAGAATCCTAAATAAGAAATCAATTTTCTATCAAGGATTTTTAAAGTTAATTATCTAATAAAGATAAATAGATTTTGTAATTATAGGACAGCATTTCAGGATTACAAGCTACAATTAGGACTCTAAGAGGAGAAAATTAGACAATATCAGAATAAACAAATAGACAATAAGTATCTGCAAGGGAGTCATAAAAGTAATTTCTTAATTATCGATAGCAGTTAAAAGTTTTTGGAGTTAGAGACAAGAATATAGGGACTTAATCAGGAAATCTCAAGACAGATTTTGATGAAGGATTAGATCTAAATTCAATATGATGACTTAGTTCAGAGAGTAATCTAGAAATATGATATTTAGGCCACCAAGTATGAATAAGAGATAAATCTGTTGAGGAACTAATTATAGAAGAAAAGAAACACTTCAACATATGATGGACCTATAGTTTCTAAAACATTTGAAATTCATAAAATTGGAGAGGTTGCAAACAATGGAACAGGGTTAGTTTCAGGATTCAATTTAGAAGATACTTAGAAAATTAAATCAATAGTGAGTACATAATAACTAAAATCTGAAGTATCATTTTAATTATCAAACTTTTAGGAGTCATAGTATACAATGAAATCAAACTCATTAGTATAGCCATTTAATCCTTTAAGAAGTGATGTATAGATTATTTATATTTGTAGTTAATTAAATCTAAGGCTTAATTGAATCGAATGGAAGATAAGTTTTATAAATGAATTTTTATATTATATACATTATATTTTTATAGTCATTTCCAAAAGATTTATCCTTTAAGTCCAATCTTTACACTTCCATTATCTTCTAATATAAAGGAGGAGACTCCGCAATAATCAATCCAATCATTATTATGGAACTTTTCAATCGTTAAACTCAAATCAACAACTCCTTGATGTGTGACACAGATATTGATTGTATTAGTTTTATTTGGAAGTTTTGTCATTTGAGTTTTAAGTTCATGCATGAAAGCCTGAATTCTCTTGAAACATAAATTATCATTCTCTGGAAAAACAGGTTAGGGTAGATTAGGATTTTTAATAAATCTTTCCTTTATAATTTAAACTCCATTTTAATACTCCTTTGTTAGGACTGGATGTTATTCAGTTCTAATATGTAGTTTATCAAGAATGTTTGAAGAAAAGTCGTATGTATACATTAATTCTCCAATTTCATCTTAAATATATAGCTTTGAATTATTAGGGATTTCCCTCATCAGATTAATGGAGGTTTAAATGCATCTAAGAAATGGTGAAGTCATAAAATTCTAAGGTATAAAACATCAGATACGATTTATATGTCTTTAAGTTGAATTTGTTTTTGATTTGCATACTCTTATATTACTTTATTTAAATGGGCACCTGTCATTCTTGCTTATTTATCTCCTTTATGGGTAAGGTTAGGATCAAATGATTTTTACATTCTTTTTCTCTCTTCAATATCATTTGTTTAATCAGCTCTCTCTCCATGTCGAACAAAAAATATCATAATTAAATATTTTAATAATCACTTCCAAAATGTTTTAGCTTTAAGGGTCAATTTAGGATTTTGCCAGTTTTCAGGAAAACATATTGTTGTCAAAGAACAATAGTCAATATTCTTGCATTTTCCGTCGTAATGATCTAATACAATCTCTTAAACTCCAAGATGGGTTGCACAAATATAGATATAATGATTCTTATTTGTAAATGCGTTGGCATATTTTTAAGTTTAGATTAAAAATGACCCTACTCTAGCTCTGCAGTATACTTAATCTTCAGGATATTTTAATTCAATATTTATGCCTTTTATAAAATTTTGTTTCCAAATTTCTACTCCATATAGTTTACTAAATTTTCCTAGTATCTTTTTATCTTGATTAATTTAATAGTGTTCTTTCAAAGGTTCCTATCTGTAGAGATGAGGCAATTAAAGATCACTTAATTAATTTTAAATGTATATCTTTTTGTTTTCAGTTGGTAAGTATTACATAACAATTGCTAGAGTTTCTATACATCTTATGTTTTGGGATGACATGAATACAAAAACCAATTCTTTAGGATTTAATTTTTGGGAGTTGATGTGTTCATTTATAATCTATTTTAATGCCTAACCCGTTTATTTTGCTTGTTCCTCTCCTTTCCCAGATAATTTGAGATCTGGATCCTAATTAAGTAAGAAATCTGTTTATTCACTAGGCTCCCCTTCGCTTAAAAAAACGAGCATATGTTAATTATAATAAAATGATTATTCATAATTTTGAGTCTTCAATTTAGATTTCTTTTGGACCCTTATAATAGTAATACTACTATAATATTTGAGATTTATCTTTCTTCAAAGAGTTTAATTCTTAATCGTAGACACTCAAACCCACTAACTAATTTTGTCTTACAATTTTACTTTTAATCCATTATAATCAGATACAGATCGACCTTTGTCATAACCATGTTTATTTTTGATATCCGAAATCAACTTCTGAGGATTCGGTATCTCTAATAAATCCCTGTTTGGTATTTATTCCAATAAATTCTATTTTAGTTATAGTCTTTCCTATTCTTCTTTTTGAATAATTTTCTTTTTTATAAACCAAATACACTACTTAAGGCATATACTGAGATCTTAATCTTTGATGCCAAGTTATAACTGGGTTTTTCGATTCCTCAGGTTTTAATTCTTCTAACATATCCAAAGAGTCCAAACGAGATCTATACTCTAGCATTTTTATATAAGAAAATACAAGCCTATCTTTCAATTAAAGTGGTTGAATTATTTTTCATTCGAGAACTGATTTTAGTAGATAATTCATTCCACACTTGCATTTGCTTCTCATGTTTACTTAATGCTCTTTCATGTTGAGTTTTCAGTATCTTTTCAGTTACTGAAATTTTCTAAAGTTGATCTTGTGCTTACTTTTCATTATTCTTGATTATTTTCTATATTTTTTCCATAGTTTATATTAACTCAAATTTATCAAGTACTTCAAAATTGGTATCTCCAACTTTTTGTATAGTTTGTTATTAATTTTTTATATTTTTTTTGCTTCTATAGGATGAATTTAGACTTGATGGTTCATTAGTATTGGCTAAAAGAATAACCATAATATATAACTTCTTGTTATCTTCTTTTACAAATTAGATAACTTTACAGGTTAACTAAAACGAAGAGGTTTTTCGAGCTCATGTGCTTGTTTATTGAATATATCCACTTTGCCAACTATTGATCGAGACTAGATTTCATTTGTTGAATTCTTTTGACTAAAATCTAAAATTTGATAATCAGGACTCTAAGCTAATTGATGACTGCTCTTTTACTTTGGAAAATGTTACTAGAATGTAAGTCTTAATCAGCAAAAGGCCAACTCATTTGACTTTATTCTCCAACTACTTTTCTAAGAAATAAAGTATGCTTCCTTTTCATTCTTTAAGATAAAATATTTTATAATATCAATTAAATAATATAAATTTAGAGATTTATATATCTTTGCCTAGTCTTGTAATTCAGGATTTGTAGCTTCTCAGATTACATATTCTATTAATTTTTATTTGAAAAAGTTTCAAACTAAAATATTAGCTTTTAAATCAAATAAACATTTACAATATATATAATCCTCTTCTTATAATTGAGATTAAATGATATTCTATATTTAATTTGATAGTGTCTTAGGTTAGTTTTTGTTTGTTAAGGAGTTTATAAATAGAAATGATATATATTGTGAGGCCAAGAAATCAAATGTAGTAATTATTCACTTATTAAAATCTTTTTTTAAAATATAATTAAATGGTTAGCAGATTAAGAAAATGCAGAAAGATGAGAGGACATGTCTGCCATGGTTATGGTAGAGTTGGTAAGCATAGAAAACATCCAAGTGGTAGAGGTGTTTCAGGAGGTTTGACTCATCACAGAATCAACTTCAATAAATATCATCCAGGATATTTCTAAAAAGTATCTAAAACATATATGTATAGACTGGAATGAGACATTTCCATTTAAAGAAGAACACACTTCATAAACCAGTTGTTAATATTGACAAATTGTGGTCTCTTGTTACAGACGAAACTAGAGAAAAATATTCCAAATCAAAAGATAAGGCTGCAGTCATTGATGTTACAAAGGCAGGCTATTTCAAGGTTTTGGGTAAAGGAAGATTACCAAATCAACCAGTTGTTGTCAAGGCTAAATTCTTCAGCAAAACTGCAGAGAGAAGAATCAAGGCTGTTGGTGGAGCATGTATACTTGTTGCCTGATACATTATATACATTAAAACAACATTTGTCAATGTCTTTAGAATTATCTTTTGGGTACTTCTATTCTTTTTATTTTTTATTTTAAATTGTAATATTTAAGAAAATGGATTCCAATGCTATTATGTAAAAAATGGCAGTCATTTTTGATGATCCTGAATAAAAGCTACTTAATGAAATCTCTGAAATCAATAAGAATAGATATTAGAACTAGATGCAAAGATTGAATGAGCTTAAGGAATAATAGGAGGATTCAGATATTGAAATTCAAAAATAGAAAAAATTAATTGAATAATTAGAAAAATCATTAATCATTGAATCTAACAAGTCCAAATAATATGATGAAATCTTGAAATAATATGAAAGTGAAGGCAAGTCTTTATCTGATGAAAGTAAAAAATACATAATTCAAATAACACAACTAAGTGAGAAAGTTGAGAATATTAAGAAATAATATATATAGGCATACGAAAAATAAGATGCCATGGAGAGAGAATAACAATAACAGATAAAAGATCTAGAAAATTGGAGCAAAAATTCAAGGAATTTATAAAATGAATTATAAAAGAAGGATTAAAAATAAATCAAGTTGCTCGAAGAACTAACATAGGTTAAAATCTAATAGCAGGAAGTCAAACAAATAGAGTCAAATGATGATTTACAAAAATTATTAGATAAACTATTAGCAGATAATAAAAGACTTTTAAAATAAAGATAAGAAGTTGTAGCTGTTTTCAAAAAATAGGCAAAAATTATCGAAATCTTGAAAAAACAAAAGCTTCATTTGTAAACATCAACTTCTCTTGATTTGACTGAATAAGATTTTGCTAAGATTGTTGATTTTAGTTTATGAAGTTACTTTTATAATAAAAGAGTAGATGGAAATATTTACTAAATGTTTGTATTATTATTTATGTTGAAATTGAATATCATCTTCCAGACCAGGAGGCAACTTATTTCTTAAAAATGATGATCACTTATTCAATTATGGCATTTTCTTCATCTCTCTTAGCCTTGGCTTCAGCATAATCAGCTCTCTTAGATTCTAAATCTGCTTAAGCTTGATCTAGAGCATCTTAGGATTCTTGTAAAATGATCTTGGATTTAGCTTATTAAGCGAGGGCTGCTTAAATTTACTAGAATTTATTATTTATTAAATATTACTGTAGCTAATCTATCGGCATAGACTTATTTTCTTTCATATTCAACTTTCAAATTAGACACTTCTGCTTCACTCAATGAAACCCATCCAGCCAATTCCCATGAGGCATTGATCTCATTGGTTTCAAGAGCTTCAAGGGATGCTGCAAGATTAGCTTCAAGTCCTTCCAAAACAGATAATACTCTTTCAGCAAGGGTTGCTCCTCTACTGACTGATCCATCCTCTTATTTGTTAGCTAATTAAAGGAATGAGTTGATTTCTTATTCATTGAATGTGTTGCTGTATGCCTTAAGTTTTTCTGCTACACTTTTGACTTGAACCAATTCAAAAGAATCTCCGTTAATGATATATCCTGCAACATCTTATTTAAGTACTCTCACAACTTCAAGAGCTTCTCTATTTTGTTTGATTGATCTCACAAAAAGTTGATTGCTTAAGCATTATTAATCAAGCAAAACTTAAATTTTTCTGTTAATTTCATCTTATCTTTGTTCATTCCAGGCAAGATAATTTTTGGTGTCTGATAACTCTTATTCAAATTAGGCTCTGTTTTCAATTGATTATTGGAATAACTTTTGATTCAATGACTTGATTTTAGTAAATTGTTCAATTGTTCTGAATATAATTATTAATGTATTACTAAGCACCAACCCATTCATCAGTTTCATTCTTTTAATCAGCTGCAAATTAAGCATCCTTATTTGATTGTATGAGATCATTCAACAAACCAAAAACTGTATCAATAGCATCCATAGCCTTTGTACCAGTTTACAAAAAGGCCATGATTTAATCATGAGTAGAAGTTGCCGAGGCTAACGTTACTAATAATACTAGAGCAAGTGTCAATTTCATTAATATTATCAATAATTTTATGCTCTTAAATAATGAATATAAGCGTAACCTACCCGTTTCCAAATAATTATAAAAAAAACGGGTATTAATATAAAAATATAATAAATAAACTTATGAACCCGCTGTAAAGAATAAATTTTAATATAATTGTTTCAATCTTATTGACCAAGTTTAAAATAAGTAGGTTTATTATAAATCCTTAATTGAAGTTATTTCAATTTGAAATTTTAATGAATACTTTCATTTCTCAGAAATATCATATATGAATTCTTTTGTATAAATATACAGATATGCTAATATATATATTACTGCAATATAAAATATTCTATTAAAATTCTCGAAATGCTAGATAGACATTAAATTTTCAGATAAAATAATCAAATTTACATACACAATGATGCCAAAAAGGATAAATGTATATGCAGATTTGATTCTATTATTTAACTAAAAGTTTATGTGTGACTGATTGATTTAATCTTATAATTGATGCTTAAATTATTTTGATTATTATGATAATTTTTGAAATTGTTGATTTTATATAAAAAAAAGAATAAAAAAATTCAAATAAGTAATGTTATTCTAATTAGTTTGTAAACGTTGAAAGAGATTTGGTAGATTTAAGTATTTGATATTATTAGCGTATATAATATCGATATTTGTTTTGATATAATTAAAGTCATTTAGTAAATTACAAATTTTTGGATAAAAGGGATTGTTAATTTATATAAAATAATAATGAATAAGTATGAAATCATGGGAGTCGTTGGTGAAGGTGCATATGGCATAGTGTTAAAATGCAAAAATAAGGAGACTAATGAATGTGGTTAGTTATTTTTTTCTATTTGTTGCAGTGGCTATAAAAAAGTTCAAAGAAACAGAGGATGATGAAGCAGTGAAGAAAAGTATTCAAAGAGAGGTGAAAATGTTGCGCATGTTGAAGCATCCAAATATTATTTAACTGAAGGAAGCGTTCAAAAAGAAAGGCAAAATATTTCTAGTTTTTCAATTCGTTGACAGAAACCTATTAGAATTATTAGAGGAGAGAAAAACACTAGATGTATGGCTATAGCACTTAGAATTAGTAAGAATGCATCAAACGAGTGATATTTTAATTGGTTCTTGCTGTGCATGCTTGTCATTCCGTAGGAATAGCACATCGAGATATAAAACCTGAAAATTTACTGATAGATAATGATCTAAATTTAAAGTTATGTGATTTTGGTTTTGCAAGGGTATTATCAATCTTATCATTAGACTATACAAAGTTAAGAATAGTTGACTGATTATGTGGCTACAAGATGGTACAGATCGCCAGAGTTACTGATATCCAATAATTATGGTAAACAAGTAGATATTTGGGCAATTGGTTGTATAATGGGAGAATTGATAGATGGTCAGCCATTATTTCCAGGTGAAAATGAGATGGACTAATTATACCTAATATAGAAGATAATAGGTCCATTGACTTAGGATTAGATGGAGAAATTTTAGAAGAATTAGAGATATATAGGAATGAAGTTTCCTGAGATAGTAAAATCAGAAACTATTGAGAAAAGATATTCTGGTAAAATGTGTAACAAAGGGTTGAATTTCTTAAAGCAATGTTTATTAATGGATCCAAATAAGAGATTGACGTCTCAGGATTGTTTAGAGCATCCCTATCTCTCAGATCTGTGGAGCAAAGAAAGTGAAATTAGACCTAAAAGTAATTTTTAGAGGAGAATTAGTTGCGAAAGGGATGATTCGAAACATAGCATTCTTAATCAATATGATTTTGGGGAATAGAAACCAAAAAAGATTCAAGAAAAAGCGATTCCTTAGACAATCCAGAATTAATCATTTGTTTAAAGATAAGTTTATAACTACAAAATTGGGGATGAAACAACTGAAGTGACCAAAGAAGATGATACCAAATCATAAATGCACAAAACATTTAATTAATCTTTCAAAATCAAGTTTAATGACACTCTTCCTTAAAGTAGATTAGGATCTGAGTAAGACAAGAGAATTAATAGGATAATCGGTTTACCAGGTTTAAAAGAAGATCCCAAACAATAGTAATAACAATAACAAGCTATTCATAATAAATCTCCAAACAAGAGAACATCCATCTAATAACCATCATTTTATGTTTAAGTATTTATTCAATCATATATACAGGGATAATATAATTTGTAACCCTAAAAACTTAATCTAGTGTATAATGCTAATACTTATAATTATTCAATTAAGAAATCGTATATCTCAAAAAAGTGAATTATTAATATATTTATTGATGCTAATTATTTTTTATTTATTCTCCTTAGCAATTTGTATTGATGATCCAATTCATACATCTATAATCTATGGCGACAGTGATTAAGGCTATTATTATGTGAATCTATTTGTTGGAGAGCATAAATAAAAATAATCATTAATTCTTGATACAGCAAGTTCAATTACTACTTTTCCATGTGTAGATTGTAAAAGTTGTGGTAACCACATTGATTCATACTATAATTTCAAAGTAAAAACATCATATCTCTAATTAGATTTCCTAAACTCACAAAGTGGTCAAATGTGATCAAATAATTGGAGAAAAATAATGTGATAAATGTCTAAACAATAGGTGCTCCTTTTAAATTAGCTATGCTGAAGGATCAAGACTTGCTGGCTATTTTATGCAGGATTGGTTAATAATGGGAGATGAGTTTGAAGATTTAAAATAATCAGATGAAATAGTTAAATTAGAATAGATCTTAAGTGTTATTGGATGTACAACTTTAGAAACTAATTTATTTTACACATAAAAGGCTAATGGAATCATGGGGTTGTCTCCAAAGACGAATACAGAATTTTCCTTTCCAAATTATATTGATGATCTCTATCAAAAAGAAAAGGGAAGTGAATTTCAGAAAATGTTTACTATTTGTATTGGAAGGAGAGATGGCTACATGACTGTGGGACAGTACGATTTTAATAGACACCGAAATGATAGTTTGTATTATAAGGTGAAATACGATCAAGACACAGATGTTTATAAAATAAATGTCCATAGCATCAAAGTAAAATGATCTTCAAAAAATAGATAGATTGATAATATAGTAATCGCTGATCACAACTTAATAAATTTAGGATAAGGAGCTTTTATAGATTCAGGATCGACTTTAGCTTATGGATCGCCTAAATTAAGTGAAAAATTGACTCAATAATTTCTTTGTTAAAATGAGAATTGTCCCGATTTGCAATATTTAGAAGAGTTGCATTGTTATCAATATATTCCAGAAAAACATGGAAATTTCTCTAATTTTGCATCTTATTTTCCTATATTTGAGTTTGAGTTAGACAATAATTTTACATTTAAGTGGAAACCTATTAATTATCTCACTTTGGCAGTGAATACAACTGATATATATTGTTTTCCACTTGCAGTAATACCTGGCGGTAATTTAAGTATCTAAAATAGCACCTAGGATGATTCTTGGATAAGTGTGGATGAGAAATTGGGATATTGGTTTCAATAAATAAACTCAAGAGGTATTATTTGTGGAGAATAATTGTTCAAATACTAAAGTGAGCCATGAATTCACTGAAGAGGATATCATTCTCTTAGAATAATAGTCGCTAAAACAAAATAATGGCAGAAGAGTTTACAAAGATTTAAATTTAAAAGGAAGTAATAATTCTTAAATAACAATTAGAATTGGATATATTTTCAGAAACTCTATATGCTTTTGTGATGATAGTGTTAATGATCTTTTTATATTATTTATTCTTCTACCTGCTAAAGTTAAAGAAATAAGGAAAATATTAAACTATTTAAGAAATAAATAGCTAGGAATGAAATAATTGCATATATGTTAATTAAAATGTTCTTTATTAATTATTGTTTCTCAAATTTTAAGAATTGTATAATAGCCCAATTTAATGGAATTTATGGTGTTTATTTAGGAAATATTGATACTGCTCAAAATTCTGAGTATTTATCAAAATATTAACTAAGTGATAATCTAGTGGATTATGGCCACTTTCTTTAAGACTAATATCTTAATCCATTGATCTGTTGGAACATCAAGATTTGCTTGTATGTGAGTGAATTCGAAATCTAGATATAATTCTTTTGATTATGATAGAAATATCCTGAACTAAAAGGGAGTTAATTCTATCAATAAATAAATTCTAAATTAAAGAGATAGACTATGCGACTTTAATATTAAATTCATATATATTTAGATATGCAAATAAGATAAAGAGCTCATTAATTAATATTTTATATGTTTACTTTATTGTTAAATTATTCTTACAATATGTAATATTAAAATTAAGATATTAATAAGATTATCTGTTGTTTATCATTTAACATCTAATACTATATTTAGTATAATATTTAATTGACTCATTTAAAGCGTTTGCTTAACTTCTAAATTCCGTACTTAACACTTAAAAAAGGAGATATCATGGCCAAGTTATAGAATAACATGCGTCTGGAAGAGAATTGATTTTTTCTTTTAATACTTTCTTTGATGAGATCCTTGATTCTATCCTAACTCATCATTTTTAAAGATCCCATATTATCCTTTTCACCTAATACAATACTTAACAATTATCCAGGAATCAAAGAACATAAGAATTCCCTAAGTCTAGATAGAAATGATACAAGGATTTTATGCTAGTGTCGATTAAGATCTCACCATCTTTTTAGACTTTAATCACATTATTAAGATCTCCTAGATTGGTAAGGTAGAGATCAGTAATATTTTTATAATTTCCTTTGAGTATGTTGAAAACTTTGTTTTGATTTTCGCCTCCCAATGTAAATCTAATGTCACCGTAATAAGATAAACTGATGACATTATACAGTAACTCTTATAACGACATAGATGGTTTGAAATCCATCAAAATAGCAACAGCTATGGCACTTTATAAATTAGATATGCATGCTCTTTAAAATCTCAAATTTTCAGATTCCTAAATAGCGACTATTGGTTTCTACATTCTCCCAGCAATAGATAACCATTTCCAATTTTCTAAATCTTTGATCAATTCTTTAGTGGCAACAACACCATATTTCAATTTCAAATCCTAATATTAAACAAAGGGACTGAAATGGATTGGGAATATTTCAACATTCATTCTCTATATGAATCTGCTTCCTAAATAATAGCTTAAACCACTATAATGCTATGGTAGTCATATAAATACTGTTGAATTGATCTGAATATTCTGGAGATGCCACTCTTCCACATTATCTACAGCAATAATTAAATCTATCATAGGTTTGTTTTTTGTATAATCATAATTGAATTAAGGTTGAACAGCTGACCCATAGGCAAATGATAAATCACTTTAAGGTAGAGATTTGATGAATTATTTCAACAAGTTGATTGGAATTTATTGCATTAATTTTATAGTTGAATAATAATAATAATAATAATAATTAAATGAATAACATTTATATATATATTATATTTGTCAAACTCCATTAATAAAGTTATCAATCATAAACCATGAGTTCTCTCTTTAATCTTATGGGACCATCTATGATAAATAATATATTGAATTACATGTCCAGCACCTCTGATAACTTGGAATCTGAAATAATTGTATTCGACAATCCATCCTGCTAATTAATTTTTTTAATTCTCCATCATTAGTGTTCAAATATGGAGTCCATCCTTTAATTTCTTTGATTCCTTGTATCTATTTGATACTTTCATATGTCTCAACTATACTAACTGCCAAATCTTGATCACCAGAATATAGGAGAATTTAGATTCCTGCTTAAAATAATTCAGGTAAAATTTAATAGCTTCCCTCTGATTTAGTATATTAAAGATAAACTGGATCACTACATCCTGACCAGACAATGTTCTTATCTACATGAAGTGCTTCTTTATATTCATCAGTGTTCAACTTATTAGCTAAAGGACCAAAATCAATACAGGGGGCACTAGAATCATCATCATCTTCAGTTAGTTTCAACCAAGGAGTGTATGAAAATCTATGTTTGGATTCTCTCTCCACTTTGTATTATTTCAAAGTACTGTCACCCCAACAATATGAATATACTCCATAAGGATTTATCTCTGCAATAGCACTATCTAGAGATTTCTTAGCTTGTCTGCAACTTGCTGAGTTTGGCTACAAAGCACAGTTGTGATTCAAAATAAACTAATTAGTATAATCAATGAATGATCTTCTAGCCAAGAACTTTATTGAAGTTTAAGCTCTAAATTTCTCATTGTTGATTAAAACACCATTTCCGATCAATACTCCCTTGAAATTGATCTTTTCCTTTTAATCTACTGTTTTTTCACCTTCCAACAAGGCTTTGGCTGTATAAGGAATGTACATTCCTAACAATTAATAACTTTCATACCTGCATATGATTCTCCAGCTATGTAGAAATCTCTACCTCTATAGTATGTGAATGTATTGAACCATTCTCGGATGGCCTCATAGTTAAATCTTCCGGTCTTCTCATCTGTAAATTTGTAGTCTTTGTCAGGAGATGGTTATGAGAATCCGACACCAAATGGAGATTCCAATATTAATAAATGAGCATTTTTATTCCATGACCATGGATTGTATTTGTATTCGGTTTCTCCATTGTCAATTACATATGGACCAATTTCTTACATCAAACCCAATAATGATGAACAACCTGGACCACCATTAAGCCAAAGTATTACTGGTTATGTTGCTACTTCTGCATCCTCTGTTTGGCTCTCTACAAATACGTAATGTAAATTTCTAATGTAAAATCTATATAAACCTCGTCACTCCATCGTCATCAATCTCAATCAATCCTGACCAAGTCTTGAATCTATATACAGGCCAATCTGGCCATCTAAATTCATCTGCAACAATGTCTATGCATGACACTGAAAGCAGTAACATACCGAGAATCACACATTTCATCATTAATTTCTAATAATTAATTGAATTATGTATATTGCACATTTCTTATTTAAATAACAGGTACAAAATTTGAATGCATATTGATTATTGTACTCAATAATGTTCTACATAGATTATTTTATAATCAAAATATTCTTAAGATATTTTACTCATTTCTTCTATAAATTCATCAATTAGATTAATAACTCCTACTTATTAATTAATTACCTATTCCATAAAGATTATATAACCCATTCTTCGTAAAAATAACAATCTTCATTATTGATATTTCTAAATTGCATTATTATAGATTAATATACAATACTATTTCCACAAGTTGTTCATTTTTGACATCTACCTTTTTTGATTGCTCATCTACATGAAAATATTAGATTATCTTCTTTTTATTAAAATAAGATTATACTAATCTTGATGTTCCTTCATAATTGTTGTTCTCTATTGCAAATGCATTCTATCCATTCAAATACAAATTAAAGAAGATTTAACTATATAATTTCTGCTAACTAAGTTGATATTAATATTAAAGGTTAGTGTTTTAGGGATGTAAATTAATGGATTTATGATTCAATTAAAAATTTATAATTTTAGCATATTTAGGTAATATTATTCTATTTTCCTATTATTTAAGATATAAAATAGATAAACTCATTATCAATATCAAGAAATAATTTAAAATGAATAAAATAAATTTAATTTAATATGTAGTAAATTAGTAAAGAGAAAGAGAATCAGATCTAATAAGCTATGGATTTAGAAAAAGATGTGCTAGGCACATTAGCAAAAGTCAGGTAATATGAAGCATCAATCAATACACTAAAAAGAAACATACAAAAATGCAACATTACTTTAAAAGAATTGAGTAGCATAGATCAATAGAAGACATATCAACCTATTGGTAGATGGTAATAAATATCATAAATATTGATAGCTTTATTTTGAAACCAAAAGGTGATATTGTGAATGAAGTCAATGAAAATATCAAAACTAGTGAGAAAGAAATTGATGAATATGAAAAAGTTAGATAGCATTTAATTACAAAAGGAAAAGAAAAAGAAACCTAATTATAAGAAGCAATGAAATCATTAAAAATTTGAAATTATAACATATTTTATGTTCTAAGATAATATAGGAATCTGTTTAATAAAATGGCTTGTTTTCTCAAATAAAGTGGTCATTTTACATATATTTTAGAGTTTTTGATGCTATATTTCTACATTTTATAAATTTCATAGATTCTGATTTAAAAGGTGAAACATTGCCTTAATTAATAAGTAATTCATGTAAATTAAATTAAAAGATTGTTTAAGGAATTGAAATTTAGGTATTAGAGTATTGTAACTTCTTAAACTTTATAATCTTTTATTGGTATGGTATTCTATTATCAGTTCAAATATAATTTTAAGATTAATATTCGAGTATTTTTTAGATTTATACTACTTATATGTTTAAGCTAAAATAATTAAATCCTGAATCCTTAAATTTTTTTCATTAAATTAATGTCTAATCTTTAGTGATCAATTCAAAGTTCTAAATATAATTGCATAAACTGATTTAACTCACGTATTTGCTGGACTATAGGAATAGTTATCAAAATAATATCATACTACTTAAAATGTAATATTAGGATTTTTGAAGAAAAATAATGCCCAAATTTGTTATTAATATAGATTAAAATATAAAAATATTGTGAATTAAATAAGCTTAAGGCTAGAAATGTTAAGAGTAATTTAATAATTGTTTAATAATGATAAGTTGATATATACTCAAGTATTTTGGTTGCAATATCTCAATATTATAGTGAAATCCATATTACAATATAAGGGAATATCAATCTTAATAAATTTCAAGTAAGGAAATCTATTTTATTGCTGATATGATTAAAACCTTTATTGATATATTTAATAAACCTTATAACGGTATCAAAAAAATATTAGAAGAAGTCTGATATGTTTTTGATTAGAAATAATTATATATAAATAAAATTATCAAAATTTTAGGTTTCAGTATAAAGTGGGTTTCTACATTTCCTTATGGTACTAGATAATTATGAATAAATACAAAAAAGTCTGCAGTTTTCCTGGGAATTAGATTTCCATCTTTTCTAACTTATAAAACACTTGTTTTATTTTGTATGAGAGATTTAAGATTGTTGTATAATTAAACTGCTTCCTCTATCTGTGCTTCGACACATTTGTTTTTTGAAAAACTTATTTAACTATTGTATGATTCTTTATGCTAGTGAAACTAATTTAAATGAAAAGTTTACATAGGAAGCACTATTATTTTTAGTTGAATTACATTCCAAAGGTATTGAATTAAATTATACTTTCAAGATGGATTTAACAGGAGTACCTGTTTTTTTTTCATATGTAGGGGTATCTTATTTAGATTAACTTCTATTAATTTAGATAATAGGTTTTGGTATTTTTCTTTCGCTTTGAACAATTTTGTTGGAAGTTTCTTTATTTTCGGATTCGATTGTATTTGTCTTATTGATTGATTGATTGATTTTCTTTTCAGATGCACTTCTTAACTATAAAAAATTATAATGTGTCTTTGAGGATTAAGGTAGTTTTTTAAGACTAGAGCTTCTTATGACTCCTTTAAAGCATTCAGCCTTTTTAGTGTAAGATGCATCAGAAATACGCGATTCTTTACTTGATGGTCTTTGTCTCAATTCATAGTATGGTTTTGACTGTTGTTGCTGTAGTGAGCTAGGTCTTGAATTAGATTTAGTTAGAGATTCTTTAAGATTTCTTGATTGCTGAGATAATTGAGATTTATTTAACGATTTTTCATTTTTAAAGTCTTTGGTTTCTCTAGTTAATCTTTAAATTTCAAGATCCAGATTACCTATATCTCTAAGTAACATCTTTTTAACGCCTGGCTTTTGTGATTTATCAATTAAAGGAGATTATTCAGGAGGAATTGGATCCACAGGTTATTAGATTTCATATTCGATTTCTTATTCTTAAGGAGGCCCTTGGTTTAGTAAAGGTGATTCTTCTTTATGAATTTATAATTTGATGGATGACTTTTTAGATGGTTGAGATGATTGCTTTTTATTAGGATTAAAGACTATAAATTCTTGCTGATTAGACTAATGTTGTTATGATTTGGATTGCTTTTTATTTTTTTAACTATTTGCATTTTGGTATTGTTCTTACAAATTACCTAATATTTATTATTTTCTTAAGTAAATTTGGATGTGTACCTTAATTCGAATTGAGCTGCAGCTTCTTCTTCACTTAATTTACTATATCTGCCTTATTCTGCCATTCAGTTAAATAAATTAATAAGTAAATCGAGAGTAATATAAATACAATCCGTTTTTATTATAATAAAAAATGGTCAAATAATGCTTACTATTAATCACTATATTAGTGATTGCCCACAGTATGAATTATGGTACGGTTTTGATTCAAAATGAGGGGGGAGGACAAATTTAAACAAAAGTAATTCATTGATAAATTTAAGGAAATACTCTTCTCAAAACCTTTTTAGTAGATCCCTTAAGTGGCCATTGCACTTCTTAATGGTCATGGAGATATCTTTGCAGAAATTCATGATATTAATCAAGAAGGTACACAAGTATCAATCTAAATAAGGATTCTCAATATAAATGATGGCATCCAATGAGATTGAGGCAGAATTTGCCTATTTAGCCATAGAAAATGATGAGAACTATCAAATTGAATGTTTTAATCGAATTGATGTTGGAAATGAGATACAATTTCCATTAATCATCTAGAAACCAAGATTTATTGGTGTTTTGGCTACAAATACTCATGAGAACAATTTCAATATTGGTATTCAATTATTTTATTTGCAAAGATTTACTTGATGGCAATCTCATTGTTGATAATGATGGAAAATTGAATATGTGTATAATCATCACAAATGAGGAGCAACCAATAGATTTGATTGGATATTAGAATTACTAGGAGCAAGAGGCTGCTGAATTTCATTCATTTAAAAAACAGAATGCCATGTAACTCTTAAATAATTAATTCAGCTTAGGAGCTTAGTATAAGCTCAACAATCCCTTGAAATAACCCATTTAGATTAACGCAAATCTTTTGAAATTTGGCACCATTAATCTATTGAAATCATTAAGGATTCCTATGAAGAAGTAAATCCAACTAATCAATCAATTGAAATTGTGAGTGAAGACTAACCCAAACAAACAGAATTCAAATAATAAGAATCTATAGAAATATTTAAATTGGATGATCAAGATTCACAATCAAATTCTGATTAAAATTTAATTGCTCAAGATATTCAACTAGACAATGTAGATGAGACTAATAATAATTAATTCGAAGATGTTAAATTTGAAGATCCTTCAAAAGTTGATTAATTGACATAACAGTAATCAACTGTAGCTACATCTAATTAAATGGAAGATATCACATTAAATCTTGATTCTGAATCAGGAAATTAATAATCTGAGACAATAACTCTTAATGATTAACAATCATCCAATTAATCAACTTAAGAACTATAAGAAAATAATTAATAATAATAGATAGAAGATGTGAAATTAGTGAATGAAGAATCTGTAAATAATGAAAATTCTTAAGAAATTAGGTTGACCACTGATGAGGTTCAAATAATAGAACCAAAAAATGAGTCAGTACAAAACTAAGACGAATAATTAGTTATTAATAATGAATAAGATGTTCAAGTCTAAACAGATATAATTGATTAATAAAATTAAGATTAAGATGCTTCTAGTTTATAATCTGAGGTTGCAATCAATAATAATGATTAAGTACTCCATTAAGAAGATATTAAATTGGATTATTTGGATAATGATAATGCAAATTAATAAGGGGAATCAAAATAAGAAATCTAAACTGAAGATATCAAATTAGATGATACTGATGTTTCTTCAATTAATGCTTAGGATATTCCACAATAATAGGATGCTATAGATATCTAAAATGATTAATTATCTATTTAACCAGAGGCTAAACCAATTGAGGACACTACAGAAGATGTAGTTGTTCATGTTGATGAGGTTAAGATTGAAAATGTGAAGATTTCTGAGGCGAATTTGGATGACATAAGTACAGATTCATAAGTGTAAGAGGATAATACAGAATAAATATAACAAGAGAAAGAGGATAATACAGCATATATATAAGATGATATAGTGGATAATACTTAATAAGATAATACTGAATAAATTCAAGATAATAGTAATGATAATTAAATAACAGATCAATCTGAAGATATTTCTGTTGATCCAGATGCCTTTTCAGAACCTTAATAAAAAGTAACTTAAATTAATGATGATCTTCAAAAACAAGAATCAGATATTGATGAGATGATTAAATTTGCATAAGAATTAAAAGAAGAAGCGAAAAAATTAAAGAATAAAAGCAGAAATGAAAGACAATAAGGAAAATTAGATATTATGGAACAAGCCACTGTTTTAGAGAAGGAAGTTGACAAATTAGAAAATTAAAGTGAAGAACCTCAGGTTGTAGAAGATTAAATCAGTTTGGATGTTAATTCTGGTTACGATGATTAAAAGGATATTTAAATTTAATAGCCTTAGGAAGAATAACAACCCCCAATCATATATTTGAATGATGGTGGACTCAATCCTGAGCAATAGTTAATAACATAGGAAATCATAGAAGAAGATAAAGTTATGAACACAGAAAACTAATTATAAGAAGTAGTTGACTAATAATTATAATAATAAGAGCAATAGATTGAAAGTACACCTGAAATTGAAGATGAGGATATCTAAATTATTGATGCTTCCATCAAATTAGACGAGGATCATCAAGAGATGGAAATATATCAATCTGACTAAGTTGAAGTCATTCCAGAATAAGTTGAACCTTAAATTGAAGAGGATCTATAAATTGAATAATAATCCCAAGAATAAGTTGAAGTAGAAGTAGAAGTAGAACCTTAAGAAGAGAATGTTCAGGAATAAGAAACTACAAAAGAAGAAGGGGCTATTGAAATTGGATTAACAACAGAAGAAGGAGAAGCATTTATTAGAAAACCTAAGAAGTCTGATTTCTTAAGAGAGAAGCAAAGATTAAAGGATAAATTGACTAATGTTATTAGAGATTTCAAATTGGACTCTGTTTAAAGCAATACTTTAGATTCTGTTGTTGAGGGGGACAAATAATACTCTTTGATTATTGATAGATTAGATGTACCTGAAAATAATGAATAAGTTATTGTGTTGAAAGATGAGGATTATGAATAAACTCAAATTGAGCCAGAACCAGAATAAGAGGTCAAATAACTTGGTGATTATTTAGAAGCTGTGGAACCAAATTTAGAAAATGTTAATTTTATCTATGATGATGAATAACAATAGGAATAATAAACAATTGAAATTGAAGATATCAAATTAAATGATGACACAAATGAAGAAACTAATTACAAAATTGTTGAGGCTAAAGATGATGAACTTGCTGATACTACATTAGATACATTAGAATCTATTGATGATTCATAATAGTAGTAATTATTATCAACTGATGTTGCTGTTACTGCCGAAGAAACATCTGCTTCTAATGTTGAAAATTAAAGTGATGATGAAAATAATATTTCTTTTGATGAATTCTAAAAGGAACTTGAAGTCTTAGCTAATACTGTTGGTAATATCAAATAAGAAAATGTGGAAACATAAAAATCTAGTGACTATATTGTTGTAAATGACAATAGTTAAATTTATGAAGCCACTTATGATGAATAAAGCAATGAATTATAATAAGAAGATGAACCATAAATTTAAGAGGACCAATAGCAATACTATCAAGGATTGGAAGATGATTAAAATACATAGGTTGATATCGAGCAACTTGAAAATTAAGATGATTTGCCATAAGAATAATAAGAAGCTGAATAAGTATTTGATGTTCCAGAATAAGAAGTCATCTAAGAATAATAATCTGATGATTAATTCTTTGACAATGAATAATCCACAGATGATTAAATGCAATAAGTTGAAACATATGACAATGCTGAACCCCAAGATTAATATCTAACGATTGACAATCTGGTGAAGGATAGTTCAGCAATTGAAGAGGTGTATGATTAGGCACCATAATATTATGATGAATCAGATACTTAATCAAGTGAATAATAAACATAAAATGTAGTTGAAAACTCATTAGAAAAAGATTATGATATTTCTGAATAACAATAATAAGATCAGAAATTTTAAGAATAATAACAAAGTGAGAACAGTTAATAACAGGAATAAGATTTTGTAGTTATGAAGGCGGATTAATTTTAACCTAAGTAATAGAATGAAAATAAATAATAAGAATAATAATCCGATATCCAACAGATAGATGACATATATTCAGAAACTCCTAGGGACGAAAATGAAATAGACATCATCGTTGATGTTGCAAATCAATATGATGATTAACCATAATTAAATGAATAGGATTATGATTATGGAGACAATTTTGAAATTCAATAACCTAGTAAAAATCAAGTTGAATAAAAACCATAGCAATAATAATAATAATTATAATAATAATAAGAATAGCAATAATAATAATAATAATAATAATAATAATAATAATAATAATTATAATAAGATTCTATATCAAGCAAGAAACAAAAATAACAAATTTAACATTCAATTACTATTTCTCATAATGTTTAAGAAAGTAATAATAAGTAAATTGATAGATCTATTGAAATATAACATGAAGATAATTCTCTAAAAATAGAGCATCCCATCAGTTAAGAGGAATTAAGAAAAGACTTAAAAGAATAACTAAAATAAGAACTCAAAGAAGAATTAAAATAAGAAATTAAATAAGAAATTTAAGAATCCCACAATAGAAGAAAATCTCCAAGTCTTGTTATAGAAGAAAACGTGGCCAAGGATCCTGAAAGACCTGCTTAGAAAGCCATAAACAGTTTTAACAAACTGTTAAATGATGTTGTAGATGACACTTTAAAGGAGGATGATGGAAAACATTACTAGAAATTGCCAATAGTGGATGTGAAGAAAGAGTCTTTTAATAAAGTTGAACCAAAGATTGAATAAGGAATTGAAGACCTAAAGAAAGCATTAGGATTAAAAGGAGGAGTAGAAGTTGTTGATAATAATGGTAAGAAGCAAGTGATTAATGTTGATGATCTTAAAAAAGAAAGTGAGAAATTGTTAACTCGCCCAGAGAGAGACGAAAAAAATGATAGTCCCTAATATGATGAATACTTGAAAAAGGTTACCGAGAAATCTCAGCCAATTAATAAAGATTAATTTTAAAATTATGAAGAGTAGCATAATCTAAGAAAATAAGAAATTTTAGAGAATATAAAGAGAGAGTTGGAAATAAAGAAAGGTCGTTTCACAGTTCCAAATGATTCTCCTCAAGGTATGATAATTATTTATTTCTAAGCAGAATTATCACCTTATGAATTTGAGAGAGTTTATTTGGATTGGGAAAAGAATAAATAGGACATCATTCCAAGCATGCTATAACATTCAATAGAATAACCTATGACTTAAGAGTTGCATTCAAATTCAGATGTAGTACATTAAAAATCCACTGAGAGAGTTTCAAGAAAAGAAGAAGTGGATAAAGAAGTTTAGGAGTTACTTTATGGAAATCAAAAAAATAGGAAATAACAATCAAAATAATCTTCGAAAGGTATCGATTTTGATTATAAATTTAAGAGTTTAAAGTGGAAGATTTGAGATATATAAAGGATGATCCTCTTTTGGATTCTACTTATAATGGATTTTTATAAGTGAAGGCAAACTTGAGAAGGAGATAACAGTGATTAATATAAGTTTATAAATTAACAGAAAATAATATGGAAAGGAAAATCAGCACTTCGAAGGTAAATCCCATTTCTTTCTTTAAGTAACAGGGTGGTTATCCTTAGTAATTTCTGGTTTTTTTATTTTTTCTTACAAGAACTACATTAAGTCGAAGTGCTATTCATTTCTAATTTTTGCAAATTCTTCAAGTATGTCATATAAGGAAATATTTTTGAGTGTTTGTGTTACATTTTATTTCTTTTAAACCTTCGGTTTGGCTACAGATGAAATGGCTGGGATTCTTCTTCTGCAATGAGGACATTGTTGATTCATAAGATAATATAATTAATTTCATTGTTGAATTGTTTCTTTAATTTATTATTCAAGTCCCTAGGTCACATATGTCAACTTAACATTATTCGGTAATTGCACACAGTAAATGGTTACAGCAATCATGTTAGGGTTGAATCTGGGATAAAAAAAGGCTTGCACTCCACAGGTTTTACAAAAGTAATGTTTAGCCTTGTATATATAATCTGTCATTCTTACTTGTTTAGTATTGAAGGTATAGAGAGTAAGCTCTTCCATACTTGTGAGCAATTTAAATTTGGAATTGTCTATCAACACATGATGATTTTGTTTCATTTTGCAAATTGAGCAATGACATCTGATTACTTCCAACTCAAGAGGTCCTTAAAATTCAAATTGAACCTTTTGGCAATGACAACTACCTTAAAATTATTATTCCATTTTCTTATTTTATTATATATGTATTCAGTGAGCTAAATTTCTAAATCTGATCCAACCCGTTATGGTGATTCGTTTAAGCCAACTGCAAGAAAAGTGACCCATCGTTTACTTTCGCATTGTGATAATGAGGGGAATCTTAAGAAAATTGATTTTGCTTTGGCAGGCAATGGCAAACATCTCCCAGATTATAACACAAAATCAACCTAATTGGAAACAAAGTAAATAGAACCATTCAAAATCAAGGATTTTATACCTTAGATCAATCCAACCATCAAATAAGAATTGAGTCGTCTAAATAAGAATAACTTTTTAGACTTTTTATTAATTCAGAAGGCTGGCAGAGTAATATGATAAATATTTATTGTTAGTAAGGGGATCAAAAGTTCTTCGATCTATTAATTTAATAATACAATTTTGATCCGTTTAAGAAAACCTTGAAGATACATGACAATAAATAATAAATTCAATATCTTCAAAAACGAGATGAAAGAGAAGAGCAAATAGCATAGTAGATTAAGCAATTTTATAAGCACATGCAACACAAAAGGAGTGGCACGATTAATGAATAGCCTTTAGACCGTATGATCATAGAAAAAAATAATTATTTGATCCAAAAACTACCACGCTTTAGAGCTAAGTTAGAGGCTTTGTAAGGAAAAAATGATAATATATGATCAAATTATAGTAGAAGTAGTGTATTTATGACTTGGGAGGTAACCATGGTTTCGACGAATAATTTTTTCGATTTCAAATATCACATGTATGTCTGTGTTTCGATTCTTAGGTTTAGCACGATGAGGTTTCATTTTTATTAATGAAAGTTACGGCAAAAAATGCTTTTCATTTGGAGATTCCTTTATCTTTATGAATTTGTTTATATATTGTTATTTCACAGCTTGTCTTGGCGATATACTATTCAATTTTAACTTAGGTAGTTCACTTCTCTTTGCTGTTAATATAGATTGTATTGTATGATGAGTTTCTTTATTTTCTGTCTTCTCTTTATGTAATGGTACAGTCATTTAACTATGATATCGTTAGCGAGGTCTATAATCATCACTGCACCAAGGACCTAAGTCTTCATCAAAATACATTTAGTAATCAAATTATTAATATTTATTCTGAAAATTTCGATTGTTATTTATTTCCCAATCATTTGATTATTCTACATATATTGCCGAGTAACTCAAGATTGTAAATAAATAGAATCAACAGAATAAAAATATGAAATAATTTAAAAGCTCAATTTTGATGAATGCAAAAAACAAATAAACGATTGTATTCACTGACTATTTAACTATCAATTAAAATTGACTTATTTGTTTTAATATTAATTTTGTAATAGTTAGTCTAATCACATGCTTATCATTATATTAAGAAATTAACATAAATTAAATATTTATATAACAGCAATATATTTTGAATAATGATGAGTTTAGATGAGATGGAATCACTTGCTAATTCATTTCGCAGAAAACCTAAGAAAAATTAGTCTATATAAATATAAACAGATGAAACAATTGCTACGATAGAAATTTTAGAATCAGATATGAATAAATTCAGAATTGAAAATTTGAGGCTTTAACAATAGATAAAGTAATTACAAGAGAGTTTAGTTCATTGTTCTGTCAATGTAACAAATACATCTTCTAAATTTATGTTGCCAAGCGAATTTAAATTAAAATATGAAAATATGGTCAAGGAAACACTCCCATCAGCTTTTGGCTATCTATTTGATTAACCAAAAGTGCTAGTCTAAGTTGTTCAATAGAGTTGTCTCTTTTTAGAATAAGTGATCAGAGAAGAACTGAACAATAAGACATTATAAGTTGCTTCAATACTTGGAATAAATTGTTAAGGATTATTCAGTCTTTTATAAAAGTTATATTAGGATAATTACTAAAGTGTTTTGGGTTTCAATGATATAACAATAAGCAAATTAAAATCGCATTTAAAATTGAATATCAAAGACATAGATGAATTTATAGAGGAGGAAAACGATGATTTGATTGAATGGATGAAATAATATTGGCTATTGTTATCATATATCATTCTGAGTGATTAAGAGATTAACATCGGTTTTAGTAGAGTGATATACGAAGTAGTGTCATATCAAAAGAATGAATATTATTGTGTAGATGGATTTGGTAAAGAAGGAGCTAAAAGTTTAGTGATACTCCCACCAATTATGAGAAAGAATCAATCATTCAATGGAGTCAAACATGCAGTATTAATATTATCAAACAATTTTGATTGCTCAATATTTAGTTAAGAGAATAATCTGCAAGATACAATTTAAGAATTGAAATCTTATAATTCACCTAAATAACTAACTATTCCTTAAGAAACAAGAGTGGTTGAGGAGACTAAGAGAAGTAGTTTACAATACAGTGCAAGAGAGAATACATTTTAAAGTCAGGGATCTGAAAAATTTGATACTTTTGAGGAGTACAGGATTAAACCATTATAAAAGTAACCTTTAAAATCAATGAAGGAGACTCTATCTAAATTAAATTAATATAATAATAGCAGCAATAATTAATCATTCAAAGAGATTTCAAAACTGCTTAAGTAAGATTCGAAGGACAATAATAAATTTAGGTAAATTATTACTCATATTTAGTTAGTTAAACTATATTCAAAGTAAGATTAGTGACAGCAATTGGAGCAGGATTCTAGCTAATAAAAGAAATAAAGAAAATCATCAGCTTCTCAATTAATCTTAGTATTAACAACCTTAATTAACAATCCAATAATTTCTCAAGAAAATCTAGATAGATTTCTCTCGTCCTTTGAAGAGTCGACATGATGAGTCAAAATTCATTAAATCACAATAAGATAGTTTCAGATAGAGAGCTCAGTCGAATGATGGAAAATTTGTTAAATATTATAATGATTCCTTTAATTAGAAATCTAATAATTGATTTACTATTATAATTAATTATAACAGCTAAATGAATAGACCCAATAGTCAGACTAATGATTACTTTAATTTAATTGAGAAATGCGTATGTAGAATATGACTCTCTATCTTAGAAATTCCCAAGGATGATAGACTCTATCTTAGATAATGTGCACATTAAAACAATCCAGATATCATCTCAATCCTATTTCAATTTAAGAGGAAAAATGGTATAATATTTTAATCCATAGAGACCAAAGAAGATTATATATGGATTTACGGAAATTTTTGTAACAGAACAAATAGGTCCGCGTTCTTTAGAAGAAATAATAGTAATCTAAGGAAAATCTTAGAAATGGATCTCCCTAAGCCAAAAGCAAATAATAATCCAGATAGAATAGCATAAGAAACAATAATCCAAGATCATTGAGCAAATAACTATTATGTATCAATCCATCTGATAAATCTTAACATTTACTGATGTATAACAAAATTAAGAAATTAGGACTACTCCACATAAATAATAGTAAGACAGATTATCTTAGAATTAAAAATTCCATACTAGTAGTGGAGGATTCTTTAAAGAAGTGCAAAGGTTTGATGAAACAATTAAGAAATCCCATAAATAGAAAAAATGGACTGAAGAAGAAATTGTGAGGAAATATGCTGATTTATTTACAGCACCTGATTTTCTAAAGAAACATAGAGCAATATCTTAAGATACAGATCCAGATAGCAAAGATTTTAATTTTGCAATTCCATGTCAAAGTTTCATTTGTTAACCTAAATATTATGCTTTGTAGAAATTTAGTGCAGAACAAATATTTGGATTTATCTATATGGAGACATCGTTAATCAAAATAAGCAAGAATTTCTTTTAGTACAAAATGGAGGCATTTTACAATGAGATTGATGCTGAAATACCAGATCTGCAAGAAATGTTCATGTTTATAGACAAAAAGAATGATGGTTTTATTGATGTCAATGAAATGGGATAATTTCTTGATTTTGTTTGTTAAAAAGAAGATAGATCAATTTTCATGAAATTAGACGCAAATAACTAAGGATACTTTACGGAACACTAGATGCTTTAATAAACTAGAGATCGATAATTTACAAGAAAGTATTATTGGTATAAATAATAAAAATAGCTATTTTTTCGAGTTTGACATTGAGTAGTCAGGAAAGATTACCTATTGGGAGTATTACTTAAGGTATTTTTTTTACAATTATTAGGTAACCTACTTAATTAGGACAGCATTTAAATAAATTACTAAAATGAATTTATATAATAATTATTTTTCCGCTATTTTTAATTTAAATATGTGTTTGGAAGAAGCTTAAGATGACAAGGGATTGGATAAATTTTTGAAAATGGCTATCAAATAGTAAATCATCCTATTAGATTTAGTTATGAAACTAAATATGGAACTCCATAAAGGAACTTGAGGGAGAAGGCAATGACTTTATGGCTTGATTTACCATCTTATAAAGACAAGATGATCGTGATGGAATTTATGTAAAGGAAGATTGATAAGATTGAGTCTTCATAAAAAAAAATCACTTAATTCTTTAAATCATACTCCAAACCATCTGCGACTAAGATTATTAAATAGGTTGATCAGGTGGATGATTAAGAAATTACAGGACCACTGATAGAAGAGAATACTCCTAAGAAGAGGGACAAATCACCATATAGTAAATTCTATGAGGAAACGTATTGGAAGCTTAAATTAGAATATGAATCTCTAAATTAAAAGGAGATCAGACAGATGGTGAAGAAATAATGGGAGAGTAATAGAAAGACAATTTAATTTGGTTGAATTTTAATTATGCATTACTTAGAAAGCAAAATCTTTAGTATTAGTTTGACTATATTAATAATATAATTTATTATAAAAATCGTTAAGATGTTAAAGAGAAACTCCCATCGTTAATCTGACCATTAGTTAAGATACTCATCATTGACTAAAAATGATGAATCAGAGTTTAATCTAGGAAAATTTCGAGAGAGTGTCTATTCAAAGATGCAACAATTAGGCAATTAAGAACAATAGATCTACGTAAAGGGTACTGCCCCAAAAACCGTTAAATCATCTTAGGCTTAAGAATTGAGGGGAAGGTATAAGGAAAGTTTAAGTTTAGTATTCCATCATTTGAAGATATTTTCAAAAAGATGTCTTCATATAAAGACAGTTCACATAATATTTTGAAACATGACGGATCTTTGAGGTCTAGTATCCAATGCAAAATAGAATAATTTGCCGATCCACCTTAAAGCAGATTATCATAAAGATCAGTTGGGATGACTTTGCATATTTCCAATAGATTTGCCTCCCAAACTAAATTGGATACAAAATAACAATCAACAGGAAAATTCACTTCTAGCTTTATAGAAAAACCTGTTATTGCTTAACCGCTTAAAACCAGTGTGATGGATAAGTTGCCACTGAAAGAATTGATTGATATTAGAAATAGAGTTGAAGGGAGTACATAGAGTGAAGTACAATAATTGTCTAAGAATTATGTGTCTGAATTAGTGAAATTGGCACAAATCATAAATAAATAAGTGAGAAGATGCAAATTATGATATTATTAATATGTTATAATCTCACAATAATGGAACCACCAGTCAAGAGTATAAAATAGTAGTTGAGAAATACTAGAGGTATTTGGATGAGAGATCTAAATTGAAACATAGATCTAATGATAAGTTAAGTGCTGCTGTCAGAAAGATTTATCTGAATCCTCTCCTTCCCTCATTATAATCTGATAATTAGTAATCCACTAATCGAATGAGAAAGAGACAATCTTCGGTATTGAAAGAGCAATATTCCCATTTTAAGTAGGAGTCTATTGAGCAGATTAATACTAATATCTAATAATCGATTGTCAATCATCAATCAAACTCAGTGCCTAAAAAATAATAGCATCAATCTCAAGCTAATCTTGAAATACCACAATAGCAAAGCTTTTTTGTAGGTTTATACAAAAATTAGAGGATTGAAAATTAAAGCAAAAACATCACCATCAAAGATTTGGTATAATTTCAAAAGAATTCACAAGACCAACAATAAAGTTTGGCTCATTTACCATAATTATAATAACCAAATAATGAAATTAATTTAAGTAGATATTTTGTCAGAAAACCTAAACCTAAAAAGATCTCGTTTGATGAAATTTCATTTACTAATAAATGGGAAAGAGAAAGAGGAAACAATGTTGTGAGGATTGATAAAATGCAAGCAGAGGAATTCTCAGAAAATGTGGTTGATTATCTCTTGGCTTAAGAAATTATGAAATTATTCTTTTAAAATTCTAGTGTTATATAATTCAAAGCAATCATGCTTGAACTTTTCAAAGGAGTTTATTATGAAAGCACACTCGATTTTGAACAAATTATAGCATTTTTCACCACAAAGCAAATTACCTATTTGGAAATATTCTACATCAAGTATGCAATCTCTTAAGTGCTAATTAATGCCAAATATAATTTTATTTTTATCGAAAGAGCTCTCAACCAATTCGAAGAATATCGCTATCTATTACAAAAGCCAATACCATTTATTCCTAAATTATTTGATAATGCCTTTTACTCCAATGTAGTTAAGGGAATCATGATGAGGCTCTTAAAAAGTCCAGCATACAATAAATTTTTGACTAACTAGAAATTTGAAAGTGAGTCATTCATATATGCTGTCAAAAACGGTTTGTTTCCATACTTAGTTGGAGAGTATGTAGGACTGCCTTTGCATGCTAGGGTGAAAGATGTAAAGGCTGAATTATTCAGATAATAAATCCTATAACCCTATATTAACCAAGTTCTTGTTATTCAAGTAAGGAACCTATTAAATGAGTATTATCTTGACGAGCTTTACATTAAAGAAGTGGAAAGGAGATTGCAATTCCCTAAAGAAGGATAAGATTTATAAGAAGAAATTCACTTTCCACTATATTATATCAAATCATATATATAATGTAAGAACACTCTTATACCTTCTTATGATATCAAGGCTTTGATAAAGATAATAAAGATTAATCCTAGTTCAGTGGATTCAGATTCTACTCTGTTTGTAGATAATATCAAATATTTGGAGTAATTTGAATAAATGACAGAAGAATTGTAACTATTTAAATGATAATCAATTTATATCTTCTTTTTGATATTGTTCTACTATTATCAGCATGACCTTTCATATATTATTTATAATAAAATTAAAGGATTACTTTAAAAGCTGAATCTAGTGCATTTTAAAGTATCATCAAGATTTATATGTGTCAATACATATCTTTATAGCTATTAATAGTCCTTTTGACAATCTATCTAGTTTATAAGTATATATAAAATCTGTAATAATAACTATTGAATAAATTGATAGGATACTTCGACTCATTAGTTAAATATCTGATGCAAAAAAGATGAAATTCAAAATAGTCATAGATTTAATTCGCTTGATGTATTACTATAAATCTTATTAGTTCAATAGTTTAAAATCTCTGTAAGATAAGTACTAATAATAGTGATTAAGTTATAATTTATAATTAAAAAGTAGTTAAAATTTGATGGCAAGCGAGAGAATACATAAGTATGAGGAATCGAAAGGTGCAGTATAGAAAATTGATTGATTAGATTTTATTTAGAAATGCAAGCAAAAGAATTGTTTTTCGAATAGTTATGGGAGTCCATTTTGTTTGGTGAAGAAATTCAATGATCATAACATTCTGAAGGAAAGTTACAATAAGATGAATGTACGAGGAGATGAGAAATGTAATTTAAATGATCGTCTTCAGAAATATAGATCTTAGGCTTAGATGGCATTGGATAAATTGGAGACTGGTGAATGATATGCTAATTTTAGGTAGATTACAAATACCAGAAGCAATTACTGATTAGGTAGATGTAGTAGAAGTGTTAAGAGGAGGAAGAGTAAATGTAGCATCGAATTTAAGTGCGAATGAAGAAAGCTTAGCAATTGTGATTATTTATTATATATTTTAATGGACCAAATTGAGCGTAGAATATAATAATTAAACCCTGATTCCTCAAGTGTGAAGGAAATAATAGAGATCTTATCACTATATCATTAAATAACAACAGTATGTATTATTTGGGAAATACAATTCAATAGAGAGATTCTATACAAAAAGTAGTATTAACCTTAAAATCTTGTTAAGAATACTTCAGCCAATAAAATTACGATCATTATGGGGAAATGGATCTTAAGGTTTAGAACGTAATAGAAGATGTTCAACGTTTAGATGTAGTAAAAATGAAGAAGTCCTTTACAAAGAAGATGTCAACAAAGTAACAATAAGTGATATGTTGTTTCTAGATCGATTCGATTATTGTCAAACAAATTACGGATAGCATTAGATATGTTGGAGGGTGATTGGATTAGCAAGAATAATACATCATTCCAATATAAATGGGCATCAATTAAAATGAAGAATATTCAGCAGTAGAAATGTTTATTATTGTAGAGTAATGAATATGGACATGAAGAAGTTGGATAAAAAATCACTTGAGTTATTGATCTGTAGGATATGCGAAAAAAAAGTACAAGCTTTTGAAATGAAAATTCATTGTGAGGAATGTCAATAATCTGCAGAGGCAAAGAAACGAATACTAGAATTGAATTTGGAAATGGCAAATCTGTGCGAAGCAGCTTATTAAGATGAAAGAAATGCTTAAGTTAAACAAGCGTTAATAAAATTAAAAATTTTATTATTTATAGAAAAAATAAAAAAGTATAAAAAAATAATAATAAATTCAGAAGAACCTAAACATTCAACATGGATGAACAAGAGAACGAATAAGAGTTAATCAATATCAATAATGCTATGACAATAATTATTAATTATGCTGATAAAATAGTGAATTAATCTAATGATGATCCTAAGTGTAAGAATTATCTGACTAATTAGAAAATCTGGTCATCCTTAATGATCTGTCGAATGCAGGCAATTACATAGAGAGTAATGAAGCTAAGACCATCATAACGCGAGTTCATAAGAGCATCCTTGATCGAATGGATTATTTTAAGAAACAAGAAGGTCATCACTAACAATATGACATGACTCTCCAATTAACCAAAATATAAGCTATGAAAAAGTCCTTTGCCAAACAAAACTCACTCTCCTTTCGCTAATCGAAGTTTTCTTAAGTTTCTCAGTCTCCAAGAAATCGTGTTGTTGAAACCATATTTGAACAAGAAGAAGGAGAAAGACAGAATCAACCAGTCATTTCTCGGAGAAGAGAATTCAAAATGAACACTTCAATATTTAAGGTGAATGAAGGTTGTGACAGTCCAAGAATTTCTAATAAACCATATACAGCAGGCTTCATAAATGATCATACAGATTCCGACAGTGCGAAACAGCCATTCTCTTATGATTCTGATGTTGGAGACAATAAAGCACCTTCCATAAAAGAAGAACAAAGCAATTCATCCTTAGAGGAAGAGTCTAGCAAATCGAATGCATCAAATCCTCTCAGAAGATAACTCAAAATTCAATAGAAGAAGAAACGAGTCTCTAATTTCCACTCCCAAGACTTTCAATAAGCCAGTACTCCAACATCCTCTTCTTAATAATAAGTTTCGATACCTAAAAAAAGTAAATTCAGCAGCAATGCTTCGAATAATAGTCCTCAACTGATTTAGGAATAGATTGATCCTGTTCACACTGACAAGGGGTATCACTCTGATTCCGACATGATCAAGACCAATTCTTCTGTATCAATTGAGTAGAAGAATGTTGGCATTAAGGATTTTGAATTCATTAAGCCTTTGGGCAAGGGAGCATATGGATGGGTTTTCTAAGTGAAAAAGAAAGGGTCTGGAGATATGTATGCATTAAAGATTATAGATTGTGCTTAACGAGTATTAATTAAATCATTACTAATAGAATTTAGAGGCTTTCTTAGAATAATTGTAGGCAGAGAGAAACATTTTTGAAATCCTTAATAGTCATTTTGTTGTGAAGGCATACTTCTCATTTGTACATGAGCATTACTTATGTTTTGTCTAAGAGTATATGGTTGGTGGTGATTTGGCAAGCATTTTGAAGACATACACAGCTTTGGATGAATTTTATGTGAGACATTATATGGCTGAAATAGTATTGGCTTTGGAATATCTGAGGAATTAAAATATAGTACATAGAGATTTAAAACCAGAAAACATTCTATTGGATTCTTAAGGACATGCCAAATTGGCTGACTTTGGATTATCTGAGAAGGGTTTGAATAGCAGATTAAAAATGAAAAGAGAGGGTTAAGTGTTGCCAGACTGTATCTCTTAATAGGTTAATGATTCATCGGAATTTTATGAACACATCAAAAAGGCAGAATCCATTTTCATTGAATCTAAGAACAGTAGTAATAAAAAGTATTGAAATATCATTCTAAATTAGGATTATTGGTACTCCTGATTATATTGCACCTGAAATTATCCAAGGTGTGTCAGTAACTAATTATTCAGCAGATTATTGGAGTTTGGGTGTTATCATGTATGAAATGTTATGTGGAGTGGCACCTTTTAATGATGACACTGTGGAGAAGATATTCGAGAATATTCTTAATTTAAGAATTGAATGGCCCAAATTAGGAGATGATGGAGAGGAATGCATTTCCTATGACTCCTATGATCTCCTTACTCGTCTATTAGAATAAGATTACAAGAAGAGAATTGGGCATGTCTCTATTGATGAAATCAAGTAGCACAAGTTCTTTAAAGGTTCTTAATTCCATTATTTCATAGGTATTGAATGGAATACATTACTTAATAAGCCTGGTGTTATTATACCTGATTTGGATCAATCTTCAAGGGACACTGAAAAAATGGAACAATTCTTAGTTAAACTAACCAAACCAACCAAGGATTAGGAACATAAGAAATTAACTCAGCAGCTCAAGAATCAACTTTAGAATTTAGAACGCATAGATCTATTGAAACAAAGAAGTGTGCTGGAGGCAGAGGAATATATGTATGTTGTTTTATTATCCATTCATTTAGATAGACGATAGAAAGAGAATAAAGTTATATACAAAAATAGATTGATTAACTTACTTAATTTACTGCAAAGCTATATTCTTCACATATGAAATATAAATGAATGAATTATATAATATAAGATAACTTGTCATATGTTTAATTTGTTATTGTTTAGTATTGTGAACGCAATAGATGTTAGTATTTCAAATATGGACAGTGCTATTATCGACATCGTCTGGTGTGGTGCTCATAATCAGTCTAATGACAATGTATTCAATCAATCCCTAATTGTTTTAGATCTTAGTTATGAGTTCAAAAGGAACAATCTATTTAAGTCAGAATAACGGCGATGATTGGTAGAAATTTGCAGAAGTATTCCATAGAAAGGGATTGCTTGTTTTATAAGATGAAAACGAAAAAGTAGGAGTAGTAAATAAAATATAAAAAAGTCCAATAGACCCACAATTAATAATATTCTTAGGAACAGAATTTGTTAATTGGATATCTCCTGATTGTGGATAAACAATAAATGCAATTTATACGGGCAGATAAATGAGGGAATTTTAATTTCACCCTAAGCGAAAAGATTGGATATTAGCATCTTCATGGTCTAAGTGTCAAATGAAATAAAAAGATTGCTATGTTACTAAGGATCTGATGCTTAGTTAAGATATGGGTTTGAATTGGGAAGTTATTGCTAAATATGTAAATTAATATTCATGGGGATTTAAAAGTCCTTACAATGAAGTAATCCCAGAGGAGAGAATAATGATTACTTATGAACCCAATGGAAAGGGACATTAATAATTATCAGGTTGGAACATGAAGACTCATTTATTTTATAGTGATGATTTTATGAAAACGAAAACGATGTTAGTTAATTAAGGCAATAAATTTCAATTAACCCCTAATCATGTATTTGTAGCTTAAGTTATGAATTCTTCCAATCAAGAAGTAACATTACTTGTGTCTGAATCTGATCAATATGAATACAACTTTAGATATGTCTAAATGCCAGACATACTTAAAGATCATAGTTACACCATAGTTGATTCCTAATATGGAGCATTTATTAACATTAATCATCTAAAACCCAGTTCGATTATGGGTACAACTTATATCTCAGATTCAACTGCCTCCAGATATAGAATCTCATTAAATTATACAGTGAGAACCGAAGAAGGGTAATGTGATTTTGAAAGAGTATTGGGTTTAGAAGGTATTTACTTAGCAAATGTTTATGCATCAGAGTAAGCAGAACTATATTAATCTGAAATTGACGAGGACTCTCCAAGAATAAAGGAGGGGGATTTAAGCAAATTTAAATAAACTAAAATCACTTTTGACAAGGGAAGTAGATGGTAACCATTGACACCACCTGTAGTCGATTCTGAAGGTAAAAAGTTGTAATGTGATTCTAAATCATGTTCATTACATTTGCATTCAGTTTCTACAAAAATGTAATTCGGTCCATTTTATTCAACCAAAAATTCAATTGGTTTGATATTAGGAACAGGAAACATTGGAAAATATTTAAGTTATAGACCTGATCAAGTGAATACTTATATGTCAAGAGATGGAGGTTTAACATGGTTTGAAATAGCCAAAGGATCTCACATTTATGAAATTGGGGATCATGGAGGTGTCATTGTATTAGCAAGTGATCAATAAGCTACAAAAGTGCTGAAGTATTCATGGAATGAGGGATTGACTTGGGAAGTATTCTAATTTAGTGAACAACCTATTGAAATCACTAATATCATAACTGAACCATCCAATATTGGTACTAGATTTATCATTTATGGAACATCAGATTTATTCATAAATGAAGAAAATATTGAATAAGGCAATATTGTTAAAATTGATTTTTCTTAAATTCATGGCAGAGAATGCATAGGAGAAGACTAGCCATCAAGTGAGAATAGTGATTATGAGTTATGGTCACCTACAGGTAAGATTAATCCAGATTGTTTAAATGGGAATGAGAGTAGAATATGTGAGAAGAAAAAGAGATGCCAAATGTTTTAATGGAGAAGATTTACAAAGATAACATTCAGTTCAATATTGTTAATGTACTGAGGAAGATTGGGAATGCGATCTCAATTTCCATAGAGAAAACTCTGATCCAAATGCAAAATGTATTCCCTATGAACTTTATGAATAAAACTTCGAGGCTCCTGAAAATTGTGAAGATTATTATGAGGTTACTAGGGGTTATCGTAGAGTGGCAGGTAACAAATGTTAAGGTGGGGTTGAATATAATCCAGTCAGTCTATTATGTCCTGGATTCAAATTTTGGAAATTCAGAAATGTAATATCATATCATTATCTAGATTTGGGACTTTATGTTGATTTGCATTTTTGCTGCCATCGTCTATTTTATATATAAGAACAGACATCATTTCTCTAAAAAATAAGATCATAAGATGGAATAACAATAATCGGCTAGGGCATATGGATAAAAGAATGGTTGAAAGGGGACTTGGATATAGAGAATTTGATGAAGATCTAATTGAAGAGAATCAAAATGTGTGAATATCATAAATATTATTATTTAATTGATTATTAAATTGAAATAGATGAAGTACTCATTAGTGAAAATTATAAGTTAACAATTAAAAATGATATATGAATAAAAATAATTGAGGATTACATTTTATGAAAAATCATCTACATTGGTATATTTAGATATTGGTCATATTTGAAGTAATTAAAGCAAATATTTTATGATTCCGAAATTTTCCAAAATATATTATAGAGATTAAAATAATTCTGTTAAATTGTATAAGAAATAAAATAAGTCAAGTTTTAGTGATTTAATCAATATTTCTTATATATTAATTTATTTTTAATAATGTCAAAGAATGTTAAACAGTTACTTTAAGATCCAAATTATACAGTACCCCTAGATGTGATCAAACGAGAGTTAAGTAAAATACCTGGAGGGGAAGATGTAGAAAACTAGATTTTAATTTTAGAAATATAAAGAAATCCAATAAACATTGTTGCCATTGTTAATGGATGGAATAGAAGAATTATCAAAGGAATTGGAGACAATGATATAGAATCCTGAAAAGATTGATCCTGAGGAAAGAGAGCGTTTTAATCCTTGCATTTATTTAGGGTATATCGAGTGAACTATGGTTTATAGATAATATTTAATGAGAAACAATCCAAAGTAGTATTGATTAAATAATAATATATTAATTAAAATATTTAATTTTATATGATTAGAAGAATCTTTTGGAATGTGAAGAATTCATTTTTTGGAGCAGGAATGCTTATATTGATCCCAGTTCAATTCATGTATTTCCCAGTTTTACTTGGAGTCCCAACATATGCAGCAACTGTATTGTAATCTGGTAATAATTAATCTTAAAATAGGTTTAACATATTATGATGAATATGACGGAGATGTTAATGAAGGAAATTATTATAAAACAAAAAGTGCATGATCATTATAAATCAAATAAATTATTCAAGCATTATTTATATCATTTTATAAAATTACTCTCTCAATCACCTTCCTAAAAATCAGTGTACTTTCTAAAGGAATTCATAAATTTACTCCATGTTTGAAATCAATCCTTTAACAAGCATACAAAAATAAAATACAAATCACTTTTGGATGATTGAATTACATTATGGCTATCAATATATGAGTCAAATTAAAAATGAACAATTTTTAATATAAAGGACAGGGAATAACAATTTTATTCAATCATTATATAACATATTAATATATAATATATATATCTGTAGATTGTTATGGTTCATTTGTAAGCTTTATAAGATGTATTTTTAAGTACTTTCCCTATATTTTATTATAAAGCTATAAGCTCCTATAAATATGCACTACTTAATTAAGTGGCTTCTGCTTATTAAACATCTTGAAGATGGTTTGAAATTCTTATAATTTCTGCCAGGGTTGCTCTCTCTGTTACTGCTTTATTCCTTTTCATATCTAATAAATCTGTCAATGGTTTAGAAGAGGAAGAGTATTATTATTCTTTTTTGGTTGATTAAATTTTAACCTTGTCCTTACTTATTGCAGAACCAAATGCACTTTGATAATTATTCTTTATTTAAATGTCATCCAATGGATGATATTATTTCTAACTTGGAGAATAAATTGCACGAGTCAAACCCATTTTAATTGGAGATTCTTATTTTGGAAATTTATTGTCCATTAGATTTCTTAAATGAGTTGCTGATTATCTATGAGATAAAGGCTAACCTGAATTCTTTTCTTCTTGATTCTTAAAATTATAAAGTAATTCGCTTTTTTAAATAAACTTCTGATTCTCGAATCCCTAAACCTTTGAGTAAACTTTATCTCTTATCCCCTTTTTAACATCATTCCAGTTTGAGGAATCACTTCTGCCCACAGGTACATTAAATTAGGATGGCTAATTTGAAAGCTAATGTCTATGAACACATTTACAGTTGTTTAAGAATATTTCATTAACAGTTAAAAATATTTTATTATATTTAATAATTCTAATCACTGCCTCATTTATCAAAATTATCTATAATATATTGATAAAATTGATTTATCAAAAGCAATGCCGTATTTAATTAAAATAAGATTTACAAATTGGATAACATATTGATTTATGTTTTTTTATGTTGATTATAATTGAATAAAATTAAAATAGAATAAAATGCTATATTTTAATGACTTTCATTCAAAGAAATTGAGGAGTCTAGATTTATGGTAGTACTAGTTCGATTTTAAAATCTTTAATATTTTTAATCTCTTTAATATTAGTCTTTTGATATAAACTTAAATTTCAAATATCTTCACTTTTCTCAGAATTCTATCTGTTAGTAATTGAATTATAGGGGGTGTTTATAGAGATATGAGATTTCGTTTATGAAATCATATTATTTATATTTGCTACAAAATTGTTATCTAATATTTGGATAGTTAATCTTTTTACTTTTAAGGAGGGATTTTTTGATATAAAAACTTATAAGATAATTAATGTAAGAGGATTAATCTAAAAAAGTAGATCCTATGGATGCATTCAGAAAAAAAGAAGATTATAGAGAAGCATGTCAAAAATTAGATGGTTTGCACTCCTAAAATAAAGAAAACGATGAAACAAAATATTTAATGCTATTCAAGAAATAAGAAACATCCAAAAAAGATTTATGTGTAATAATAAGAGTCTATAATGGAAATATGTTATGGATGTAAAAAATAGATAGAGCAGCATTAGATGAAATGATTTTAAAAACAGATATCAAGGGAACTTATTCCTCTTTCTGTGAATTAATCAGATTTGCAATTAGTGAAAATTCATATGATTTTGTTCAATTTGAAGCCCAATTAGATATAGTTCTTTATTTCTCTCTACAAAGACATGTTTAACTAAAAGGATAGATACCATTAGATTAAGGTCTACCCATAACAAATGATGAAGACATAAGAAAAATACAATTTTAATTTGTTTGTGATCTAGTCGATGTATTAAAAGCTACGCAGTTGTAATTTACTAAAGAAATAGAAGTTAATACAACCAGAAAGAAAAAAAATGAACAAATGATTGATGTTGAATAACCACCTCTTTAAAAGCCTCCTCCTCCACCAAAGAAAAATTTGCTTACAATAGGCTAAGAGATTTTAAATACACCTGAAGTATTATTACCTCGAAAAGGTCCTTATGGAATCCCCTTTTATGGAAATCAATATGTATAGTTTCCTTCAAATGCTGATTTAATAAATCCAAGCAAAAAAAAGAGAAAAACAAATGGGGGCTAAATTGATTGAAATTAATATTTTTTCCTCATAGAATTATATAATTATTAAAATTGAAATTTAAAGTACATTTCTCTGACTAAGTTTTTGCAATCCTCAATTCCTAATGTAATAAATGTTAAAATAATTTAATCTTAATAAGTTAAGTGACTATTTTCAGAAAATTGAAGTCTGTCAATCTCAAACAAATTATTTTATAATAGTTAAGAAAAAACATAACTTTACAATTCAGGAATTTATAACAATAATGCATAATAACAAATAATTATTATAAGACTATTTATATTCTAACTAAAATTAATTATTTGTTATTAGACATTAATTAGTTTTTTAGATTATTCTACATTGATTATACAAATTAACTAAAATATCAATTTCTATATTTGGAAAATATATGGTTAAATAAAGTTGTTCCATTAAGACTGCACAGAATATAGTTTCTTAAGTAATTAGATGTTTAAAGCATATAGATATTAACATCAAATGTTTTTCTTTGTATTGTTATAAATTCATGGCACTTTATATTCTTATTATTATTTTGAACTATTTTTAAAGATGGTATATCTGATTAGAACTGCAATTACATATTTTTTAATTTTTTCTTAAAACATTATTTTAAAAAGTAATGAACACTATCATTTTTTGTTAATTTATCATTTAGAGATTATAAACTCTCCACAAAGACTCAAAAGGATTACAATTTATTAATTTGAAAGGAATTAATGATTTTATGAATGTGGGATTTTAATATTGATACAAATAGAGGTTTCAGTGAGCCAAATTCAATATAACTGCAATTAGGATTAGGAGAATTTGAATTGTAACCATTGCTATCACATAGGGCTTGGTTGTAGCTAAAAGTGGATAATGATCATCTGTCATAGAGAGTTTATTTATTTAATTTATTATTAAAGCCCTTACCCGTTTTTATGGAAATATTATTAATTTTATTGACATGAATAAGTTCATAACCATTGCTTTGGTTGCCTTAGTAAGTGTTTAAGCCTTTGATATTGATTTCGCACTCCTCTTGTAGGTATGAATTGTGACTATATTAAAAGACAGGATCAGAATCGAATGATGCTGTTTAAGCTGTCTATGATTTATTGAATGATTTGAAAACCAGCAACATTGAAGCTCAAGGTGTTGCAGATGAAAAGAACATTTCTGATGAAGAAATAGGATAAGGAAGAATAGCTGCTCTTTCTAAAGTTAATGAATTAAATCAAAAAGCTTGGGCAAGTGCTAAGGCCAGAAGAGAACAAATAGGTGTTGAATACAGAGTACTTGATTTAATAAATTTCAGGAAGCAACAGACTACATTGCATGGGCAACATAAAGATTAGCTGATATTGATAGAAGAGAAGTTGAACTTGAAGAATTGAGATGTTTCTCAAATGGATTGTTTGTCAGAGCTATCAAATAACACAATGATGCTTTGGGAGTCATCAAAATATTGAAGAACGATTTAAGGTATAAGTTATATATTGACATCAAGCGGTTATTTAACAGGAGCTCCATCATCAATGGTTGAATTGAAGGTCGAGAATGTTGCTGACAAATTGAAATAATACAGTCAATTGTTCAATCAAGATGCCATGTCCAAATTTGCTTAATTGGCTGCCGAATAAGCATCTGGAAATGCTGAATTGCATGCTTTAGGAGAATCTGATGCACCTACTGGAGGAGACAGACAACCAGGAGTTAACGTTGGATAACTTGTTTATAATGCCTTGAGTGACTTGGAAGATTAATTAAAATCTGCTCTTGCCGCATTGGAACAAAATGAAATTGCAGGATACTATCAATTAGCTGATTGGTTAGCTGACTCTGAAGCTGAAAAGGTTCATCTTTAAGATGAAATCCAAAGAAAAACTTAACTCTAAGATAAATTGGTTGTGGTAATTCTTCTTCTTTATCTCTTTAGTAAGAATAAGCTGCTCTTGCCGTCTAAGCCAAGGCTAATTCAGTCTTAAAGGATTCATAGAATGCCATTAATGCTGCTACTGCCAGTCTTTATGAATTAAGGGAACTTTATGAAACAGAACTTAATAGAAGAAATGGTAATTTATAAATTCATTATTTTAGAGGAAAATGCTATCATTGATGAAGTCATTCACATCTTCAAATAGCAAGTCTTAGAAATGGCTAACTAAACCTCTTATGGCAAAAAGTGATTATGACATATAAACATTATCAATTTAAACTGATATAATTAGTCTCATTTATGAAAAATTGATTTTATCTAAAAAGTTATGTTTATAGAAAACAACTTAAAAAGGATTTTTAAATTATTAATTATATTTCACTTAGGTGATCCCCAAGAAACTGGTTGTGCCTATTCAGTTGCTGTTTCAGTCTTCCATTCATTATTGACACCACTTGATTTCCATTCATTATTGTTTCCACTTGATTTCCAATCATTATTGATACCACTAGATTTCCACTCATTATTAGTTCCACTTGTTTTCCAATCATTATTATTATTACCATTTATTTTCCAATCATTATTATTATTACCACTTGTTTTCCAATCATTATTAGTTCCATTTTACTTCCAATCTCCATTTCCTTACTTATTATTCCAGTCTCCTCCTCTATTCTTCTGGCCTTCCTGATTACTTTTCCAGTTCTCCCCTCTCTAAAAGTTTTGTTTTCTACCATCTTTATTTTCCCAAGGTTTACCCCTATCATTCCCTCCATTTCTATCGTAATTTCCTCCTCTTCCATTCTCTTTATTGCTGAAATCAGTTCTTTGATTGTCACCCCAACCCCCTTCAGTGTTTCTCTTTTTAAATTTATTATTTTAAAAATTATTATTTGACTCAAATTTTTAGTTATAATTATTATTTGGTTTATCTTACTTTCCTACATCCCAATCTGTCTTTACCTCAGGCTCCTTTTGTTTATTCTCCACATTATTCAGAATGGTCTTCAAAATTTCAGTTATGCTCTTATTTTCTGATTCTTTAGCAAATTCATCTAAAATATCCAGCAAGGTAATTTTTTATAAGCTTTCTAATAGTTTCTCAGTTTAGTTTTTGTTGACTCCAGGCTTGTTCTTATCATCTTGCTAAGACTCTGAATGATAGGTCTTCTTTCTTATTGGCAATTAGTTTTCCATTTAAAAATAAATACTTTAAATTTAGTTAAATTAAATATTAATCAATTTTTAGATTCTTTTTTGCTTTTCCTTTCTTTTGATTTTGATTTCGATTTCGATTTCTATTTAGGCTTTGATTACTTTGGTTATTTTTCTTTTTGTTCAACTTAAGAATCCTTAGTCTTATTTACAGTAGTATCAGTAGTATTAGGTTTCTTAGCCTTTTATAGTTATTCCTATTCTTCTTTAGTAAATTGCCTCTATCCATTTATCCAAATCCCTTTCTGTAATCTCTAATCAGGCCAAATCATCAACCCTTTTCCATGCATAACCCCATTCTTCCAGCCTCCTTTGTATGTCCTTCCATCAGGCCAACTGTATTCCCCATATCCTTACCTTACATTATTAACATACTCTCCCTTATAAAATTTTCCTTCTCCCCATATGAATTCCCCTTACCCATACATTTTACCATCCTTCCATTCTCCTTCATATCTTTTTCCATCAGCCCAAGTTTAAGTTCCCTTTCCACAAATCTAACCTTCTTTGAACATTCCTTCAAAGATGCATCCGTCCACATATTCCAATCTACCTTTGCCCTCTCTTTTATTGGCCTTGAATGCTCCAATATAGACATTACCATCTGCAAGTTGTTCTCTTCCCTCACCTTCCTATTGATATCAATACAATATCTATACTTTTTAATTCTTTACCCATTTCCCTTCATACGATGAACCATCTTAATAGACCAATACTCCAACACCTTCTCTTTCCCCATAAACAAACTCTCCTGAGTAATAATCCCCATTTTAAAATATGTATCTACCGTATCCTTATAAAAAATCATTTAGCCATTATCCTTCATAATATGCTCCATTCGAAAATATTTATTTCCCAAACCCATGTCGTTTACCTATTTGCCATGTACCGACATAGATATCTCCAGTATTAAGAATTATATATGGACCCAACATTTCACAATTGTTCATATCAACATTAATGTTGATAGGTTCCAATTGGGCAGACAATGCAATTACATGCTCATTTTCTATTTTAAGGATATCAGTTTCCGATGGAACTGCTTTCTCGAACCTTGGTTTGTGATTGATAACTTCAATTTCACCTTAATTTTCGGATACTGAATGTTATTCAGATTTGATGAATAATTATTATACATTTGGGGCAAACGACATAATCATTTACTCTCCTCTTGAGGATTAAAGAATTATTTATCGTTCCTAAGGAGGTGGATTTGGTTATTACACTTCTTCCGGATTATCATCTTCTAAAGAGATTGTATCTTCTTAATGTTGTTCAAAGAGAGGGTTATCAAGCAGAGTCTATTATTTTGTTTTATCTGTATTCATTGATTATTGTTCAGGTATTTTATCCTCCCCTTTTTCAACAATTTCTTCTTCTAACTCTTGGGGCTCTTCCTCTAATTCTTCACATTCAGATTCTTATTTTGAAGTTGTTTAGGGTGTCAGTTCTGCGCTATCAAATGCTTCATACACCCCAAATTCGTTATTTCTATTCAAATTAGGTGGAGAAGGCAGAGGATGTAATAAAACATCTTTCTCACCTTTAGTCATAAAATCAATCAATTGTTTATTTGTTTCCGATTACTAAATTAGATTATTATTTTTGGCTTTATACTATATACCTTAGGTGTAGGATCTTTCTGATCTTTTATCAGCTTCAATAAGAGAGGGATTTCTTGACTACATCTTATCTAAAACTTGAATATTTAGAGATCTCAACTCTAAGTCAATTTGTAAGTTTGACGAATCAATTTGAGAATCATTTTAGTTTAACTACGAATAATATTGCAAACTTGATACCTTCTAATGATGTATTTTTTAGTTTTCTAACGGTTATTGCTTTTATAATTCTCCTACATCTAATTAACGCTTTTGTATACTTTCCTGCATATTTGATATATTTACATCTCCATAGTTCTAGCCGCTAAATTCAAATTCAAGATTTGGATCTTGACTTAATTCTTAAAGTCTTATCTAATCAATTGTGTTGCTTTCATTTTAATGTTAATTTCGATATGAAACACAAGTTCCCATTATTATATAAAATATAAATATAGTATTAATTTATTAGTTTTTTAATATCTTGCATTTAATTGAGCAGAAAACCAATCAGTTTTTTATTCAGATATGGTTTATGAGATAAAAAAAATTTAAACCATATATCTGTAATTCTTGCTTTACTTCTTCTCTTTTCCAAAACGCATAAATTTAATTATTTAATTTATCAATAAGATATAAGAACTCAATCAAAGACTTCTTAGAAATCTCATAAAAGAACATCTCCCTTTATTATTATTATTATCTTATTAATAATTTAATAGTTATCCTTATTCCTTTATTGCAAATTTAATAAGGTTTTCAATTTCTTATTAGTTGTTCTTCTTATATCCCTTATAACATCTTATTTGAAAGCAGATCCCCTCATTATTATTTGTTTAATTGATTAGATTTCTATACTCATGATAGAAATATGCTGATATTAGAAATTTAATTTGCGCTTAGAATACATCATAAGATCAAAAATTTAGAAAAATAGATAGATTAATCGAAAATTAATTTATTTATAAAATGAAAGTCCAAAATTTAGAATTATATATCAAACTTAAGTACTTAAAAATGTTTAAAATTTGGGATTTGACAATCTTCGAGCACCAATTTCCCATGAAGATTTCTTTTATTATTGCACTTACTCTTCCATTTTTTTCATCTACATCTAAAGCTATTATAATTATGGATTTAGTTCTTGGGAGTGAATTGTTTTTTTTCTGCTGTAAGATTTCTTTAGTCTTTAGAATGATAAGAAATTACGAGGCAAAGTTTGCTTGGGGAAATCAGCAGTATTTCTATACATCAACATCTCTTTTGACAGTTTAAAGTCACAATATTATTTTACGGGAGTTGCTTTCAGAAACTATTTCTATGTCTAATCTATACTCCTAACTCTATTCCTTAAACATCTTATAGGAAATTCAGTTGTCGTTGTGGTGGTTGCTGTATGTTTAATTAATTTGGAAAAAGCTGTTTTGGTATTGTTAATTTTCTGTTAGTCATCCTTGCCAGAATAAATGGTTGAACTTCTCTATTATTGATTCTACTTGTAGAGGATAGGCTGAGGGGATAAATTAAATTCTTGCCAAGGACTCACATCTTCAGCATCAAATTCATTCTAATATAAACATTATTACATATAAATATAAATATTAAATTCAAGTCTTAGAGACTAATTGTTGATAGACAATAGTTGATATGTTATTTGTCTCTTCCATTGCTCCCTTTCCAATATCACCACAGATCAAGGTCTTAGAGATTGAATCTATTATGAAGGCACCGATCTTTTTTAGTTTATTGATTTGTTTTTCTGTGATTGGATTCTCATACATCATAGTATTCATTGCAGGAGCTAAAATCATAGGTTTCTTGTAATCCCATGCTCTGGCAACATTTGTTAATAAATTATCACATAAGCCATTAGCTATCTTAGCCATAGTATTGGCTGATAGAGGAGCTATCAGTAAACAGTCTGCCCATTTTCGCAATTCAATATGTAATACTGGATCATTCCTTTATTTCCATGTTTTAAATTCATCCTCATCAGAGAAATGCTCAATGTCATGAATTTAAGGATTCATGAATTTTTATGCGTGATGAGTAGTAATAATTCTGATCTTGGTCGAATAATTGAATTCTTTGAATTTCTTTTAAATATCACTAATCAATTGTTCTGCCTTTATTGAAGCCACTGAACCTGTAAAGCCTATTAGTATTTTAAATTCTCTTTAATTGTTATCCTGTTACATTAATATATATTATTTTATTCAAATATATCAAAATATCTGACAACCTGCATTAAATTCGTGTTCATTAGCTTCATTTTCAATTATAACAATTTCCTCAACGAATTTCTTAGGTAAATCAACTAAATTTAATAATCTATCATTACATCTATAACTTGGCTTGTTCATAATATCAATTGTTTCTTACTTATATTATGACTCAGTAGGCTTCTAGTTCGATAATTGATATTATTATTGTGTATATACTGGAGTTGTTGGCCTATATGATTATTCATTCTTAATTGATTCTGCCTTGATTGAAGGAGGGTTTTATCCTTTATTCATAATTGGGTCTACTGGTTTCTGGGTTTTGATTTGAATTTCTGAAGGACGAATGGGTTCTTCTGTCTTTCTAGGCCCTGCACTTAAGTAGTCATTTTGAAGTGGATAGTTTAAAGTAGTTCTATTTAGTTGGGTGTCCAAAGTGATTCTATCAGGATTGTAAGGAGTATATTGTGTTTGACTAGGTTTAACTAATATATTTACACAACTGATTAATTGGGTTGCACTTATGGAATTGATTTATAGGATTGTTGGTATTCCTTTGGTTATTCTGGTAAATTAAAGTCATACTTCATGGGTTCAAATTTGTATTACTCAAACTTTTCATAAGATTTAGGCTATTCAAAAGTAGTTTTATATTTATCAAATGAATTCGGTTCGTATTTTGTGAATGTGTTGTCTTATTTTGGTGGTTCATACAGAGTTTTATTCTGAAAGTTAAGCGAACTACCGATTGGTTCTTGAACTTGAGTGATAAAAATATTAAATACATGTTGTATTGTACGCTATGATAAATAGTTCAAGTACCTGACTAAATGTATGATCCTGTACGGCCAGCGTCTGGTTTTTTGTACTCAAAACTTTAGTAATTAAATTAAGAAGTTGGCAAAGCACTTACTTCTTGAGGTTTGTAAGTTTAAACTGTTCTAAAATTGAAAGTGTCCGTTTCTGGTTTCCGATACTCAAAATTTTCTTAAGTAATTTAACGTGAATTTTATGCTTGTCAAATAAACTTAAAGTTTACAATTTATATCCTAAGAACCTTAAATGCCTAATTAAGGCTAATTTTGATATTATTTGTAGTCTGTTTATTATGGATCTGTGCTAGTATTTCTAATTGATCTTGTTAATCGTTTCGTCGGTTCCTATTCTGTGCCTGTATCAAAGATGGCTCTTGCAGTTCCCATCTTTTAGCTTGTAGCCATGGGACTCTGACTCCTTCGATCTATCATAATATTAATAATTAAAATATTATAATAATGTTGAGATTAATGTCTTTCTATAGGTTTTCGAATGTTTCCATGGCAAGAGGAACTCTGTATAAAATAATATCGAAAGAGTACAAATAAGAATATCATCAATATGAATAAGAGCCTACATTAATGAAATAAATTAAGCATCTAGGATTTTAATTGATAGATGATCCATCAACCAATAAAGTTATTCTTAATAAAGAATTTTCATCTGCAAAGATATCTATTTTATTCAGAGGAACACCAGCACCCCTGGAAGCCAAAATGTAACATTTATGAAAAATCACTTTATTATTAGAAAAGTTCCTAATGAAGACTAATCCATTTAGTAAAATCCAAAATACCAAGACAAAATACAATCATAATTATAAGAGACGAAACAAGAATATGTATTAGGAATACTCTCTGTGGATTATACAGTCATAATCTAAACTGAAAAAGGAGAAGCTATAGCTTTTGAATGCAATACAAGTATTACTTGAAAGGATTGAACTACAGGTAACCAGACTACTTTCATTAATTACGTACAACCAGTCTATGATATCCAAGAGTACAAAACAAGATCCAAGTATCGTAAATTCTTAAGTGATTATTCAGGACCAGAAATTAATAAATTAGATGAAGTTAAAATAATCATAAATTTAATAGCGCTTAAAACAATCACTTTACACCTACTTAGAAAGCTATGGTATCAATGAATCATTGAATGCATTAATTGAGGCATTATTGACAAAGAGTAAAGATAATATATGGAGTTTTTGAAATCTATGGAAAATTTTCTAGCTGTTTGATTTATTCTTATGATAATTAATTATTTAATTTTAGCAATAAATCTAAGCATAATATTTAAGTATTTTAAAATAGTATTCTATCTCTTCGTATATAAACTATTAAATAATTATTAATAAAACAAGTTGATTGATATTTATATCTAAAAAGATCTATAATTATGTATTTGTATGAGTTATTTTAATAATAAAATTTAGAGAAGTCTATCAACAATTAATAATTCTTAACCCCATAATTTGTGGTTCAGCCTTAGGATCATAAAAATCAGAGCAAATCTTTGCTAAATCCTTAATATCGTTTTTTATAAGTCTTTTTTATTCCATCATTTCTGCTTCTTCGGTGCAGATATCAGTTATAATATTTTTGATAATAGGGGCTAGATAAGGCAATGCCACCTTTTTGGTTACTGCAGGTCTTCTGACTTATTTTGCCTTTTCTAACAATCCTCTTCTATCCTAAGCTTCTTTCATTTTCATTTTTACTACAGAGTTTCCCCATTTTTAATTAAAAAAATTCATTTACTATTGTCGAAGTCGATTTCTTAATTATTCAGCCTAATTATGATAGTTCTTATAATATGTATCATACGAAACAGTAGGCTTTTATTCAAATTATTCCAATTTCAAAGAAAGCCTATCCTTCCCATAACTATTTCTCAAAGTTTCATCAAATTCTGTTCTTACCCTTAAATCCTCAAAATGACTGATTTCCTAAAATAATTAAAGTTGTGGATATTCCTTCATATCAACATTTCTAAATTTATCCTTTAACAAAGTTGATAAATTCTAAACCTCTTTACATAACTAAGGTTCATATTTTTCCAAACTCAGATGAGTTTATGCTTTTTACAACAGTGCGACCTTATTCCTATATGAAGTTTAAGGAGGTTTAGTATCAAACTTCAGATAATCAGGGTATTCTGATTTCCATTTCTTCAGCTATAGTTTAGTCTTAATTAAAGTTTATTAACTTTCAAATAAAGCTTATCTCTCTGGGGTTGGTTAATCTTTATTCATATCTTTCAGTAAATCAGTGACTGTGAAAAATGTATCTAAATTTTGAAAGTCTTTCATTCCTTCATCGAATTTCTCTTATTTGTTTAATGATTGCATGCCAAGTTTTTAAGTGATCTTTTTAAACCTGTGTGAGTTTGGTTTAGGCTTATCTTTCTTAAATTCCATCTAAAATAATGTATTAAAATTATGAAAATAAAATTTTATGTAAATAAGCAATAATCAATTGATAATATTCAATAATTTCATTAAACTTTTCATCCTCATTGGATAATTTAAGTAAATTCTTAGTATTATTACTAACATTCTCTATTCTTAGGAGAAAAGTCTAAACAATTAGATTAGCACTAATTCCTATTGAAAACTAAGAAATTATATATATTTGATTATAAAGAAAATGATTTCATGATTCAAAAGTATAAATTAAGTTGTTTCCATATAGTTAATGTACTTTATTAATATAAGTATCTGGTTAGGTAATAAATATTAGATTATTTATTATGGCTACTCTTCTTAGAGTAATAAAATTAATTAAGTTATAACTAATAGCAGGCAATAAAAGAACAAAATAGTATTTTTAAAAATGGTTTCAATTTTTCTTTGGTTACCATATTTATGGAGAGTTTACTTGATCCTTTATGAGGTGGTATCTAGAATATTTAGATATTTGAGTTATAAATGCTATGAATATTTTTAGGCTTATTCTTCTATAATGTATAAAAAAGGATATAAATATTATTTAAAAATGTCTTAATAATAATCGTAGTAGATAAGAAATCATTTCCTTGATAAGAAGCTTATTGGAACATTGTTTGAAGAGGAGGAAATAACCAAAAAGGATAATTTCTATAACATGGAGGCTAGAGACGAAAAGGGACATAAGAGATTTCATGGAGCCTTTGAGGGGGGATTTGAAGCTGGGTTTAAGAACACTGTTGGTTCCAAATAAGGATGGGCCCCATAGAAGTTTATATCCTCGAGAACGAATAGAGGTATTAGAGATAAGTTAAGTTAGCAAAATACAATAATTAAACAATAAAGGATTACATGGATGAAGATGATATCGGAAGATAAAAGCTAGGAGTTAATGTTACGATTTAACCAGAATACGATACTTTTGGTTAAAATGAGATCAACTTTTTACAGCAACAATTAGGATCAGGATCTGGGTATATTGAATGCACTTTAAGTTAAGATGGCTCTTAGGATCAGCACCAGAGGAATTGATTTACAGAGACAATAAGTCAGTTGGTTATTAAGTACTTATGCGATTAAGGAAATAAGTGATCAAAAAGAGAAGCACAAATGTTGAACAAGAAAAACAAGAAACTTCTTAAGCTCATAATTTAAAATACCTAAATTCTACCAATAATTAATATACAGGACTAGGATACAAATAAAACATAGATACCTTTGGCAATCCCTCAAATCCATTGGAATAAGCTTTTTGGACATTCATTAAGTAAAATGCTTCCATTATAATTGATGAAGATGAAGAAAAGAGAAAGAAGGATAATAGGATTAAAATGAATGGATTTACATCTTAAGATAGGGAGGAAGAATGTATTTGCATAATATTAAATTAAGATAACAACACGATCGAAGACGATGATGAACCCTATCAAAATAAAAGGAAATAAGTCAAGGGAGCTCTGGATGTTGGGATGAGATTTACTAAAGATATGATTCCATTGAGGATAGACACTAAAGATTACCTCATCAATGTTCCAGAAGATTATGATCCATATCATAAGGCTAAGAAACTCTTGGATTAAGGAAAGGATTATTCTTTTCTTTTTATCAATAAGACAAATTTTAAAAAGCCTGCCTCTAGTTCAAAGAGAGAAGAAATATTTAGAGAGGAAGAAACTGGTAATTGATATGTTTATTTAATTTTATAGCTAGTTCCATTAAAAGAGATATAAGCAAATAAAAGTTTGTCAAAGGCTCTAATCAAACAATGCTTGTAACTTAGTAGCCTAATCAATAGTAGATGGCTGAGAATTAAGATAACATTAATATTTTAAATTTATTTCCTCATCAACCTGATAAATAATAGAGATATGCTTATTTTGTTAGGCAAAAATTAAATAAGACAACTGAGGAATAATTTTAAGTAGATGAGGAAGAAAAAGTTGATTTTGAAAGGCTGTATTAAATGTTTTAAGTAACTTCAAAGAATGTCATTGAAAAAAAATAAGAACCATAAAAACCAACTGAATAATAAGAAAAACCCAATCCTTTTTTGAGTTAAAGGGTTGTTAAGAGGTGGATTCCTGAAGACTTATTTTGCAAGAGAATGGGAGTTCCTTAGCCTTACAATGATGATGAGAAAGCAATGATTGAGAAGATCAATGAAAGAAGCCATCAGAAACCAAATATGGCAACTAATAATAGGAACTTCTTATTTATGGATAAAAAAGAGTAAATATGCTGATTTTCTATTCCTAGGTTTAAGTCTGGGGGTTTCATGTAACCATAAGAATTTACTTAATCTACAGCATAATTTGATCCAGTTGCTCTAGGTTTGCCGTTGTCATTCAAATCGCACTCATATGAAAGAAATCAATAAGAACGATTATTGTAATTAGAGAATATGGAAAGAGCACAGACTTAAGTGGTAAGTAAATAGGAGAAAATAAACATAAAATTCTCTGAAGATAAGGAGGATATGCTACCTAGTAGAATTTAAGATCAAAATATATTTGAATTTATATTTGGAGATGATGAGGAGGATGATTAGTAGTGATTATTGATATAATCAATATTAATAAATAAATGATATCATAATTCCCCAAATATTCTTGTTACTAGTTTCTATTGAGGTCTGCTCTTTAAGAATGATTTTTAAACTTGCTTTTATTTATTGAAACTAATTTAACTAGACATTTTTTAAGGACTAGATTCATTTGATTTATTAATGTTAGTATAAGGAAATCTGTCTGCTCTACTAGCATTAGGAGTAAACAATTAATCTTTGATGAAATTGCCTATTAGCTTTTTGTGGCTGTCAGGAGATTCAGCCTCAGTGTATATTTACAATTTAGGGAGTTCTATTTAACTATTTGTTCTTTTTATTTTGATATTACTATTAGATCCTTTTTTATAAGGATCAATGCATATAATTTAGAGAGATTTTTGTGATTATTTCTAGGAAGAAAAGGGAGCATTCGATTAGATTGGAAAGAAAAACTGTGCTGTTTTATCACAATCTGTTGTTGAGCAAGTATTCATAAATAATTATTTATTTCTTATTTATTATATATATATATAAGCTAATTAAGGAACCGTATATTAGACATTAATAATATAAGGGTGGATTTGATATTGCTAACATAATAATACTATTCAAATCAATTGTATTTTGGGAGTTCATTATCATAAATGAAACTATCAAACATTTCAAAGCCGTTTTATCTTTGATCTTCAGGGACCATCTAATTTAAATAGATAAGAATAACTTACATGTCCAGCTCCTCTTACAACGACAAACTTCAAGTAGTTATATTAGGTGACCCAACCAGCCAAATCCAAATCAGTATTGCCCCATGGAGACCAAGAATCCAATTCTTAGATACCTGGTATCATATCAATTGATCTTTCAGTATCAACGACACTGACGATGGCATCCTAATCACCAGAGTAGATTAAGATTCTGACTCCTGATTGATTTAAAAATGGAAGAATTTGATAACTTCCACTTTTGCTAATAGTATAGGCTTGGTTGATTTCCATATTGCAGGCAGACCAGAAGTAGGGTCTTTCTAAGATGTGTAAAGCTTCTTGGACTTATGCATTATTATAATATTCTGTGATGGGTCCGAAATCAGAACAAGGAGCCCCACTATTTCCTACTTTTTAGAATTTGTTTCCTTCGTACCAAGATACATATGGATATCTGATATTTTCGCCTGATTTTGTCTTGGGTTTCAAAAAGTCTGGAGTTGTATCATCTTTGCAATAACCATAAACATTATAGATATTAATGTTGGATCCTAAGCAGACTTCCTCAAATTGAGATTGAGCCAATAGACATTTGACTGAGTCTGGTTTGGCACTGCATATTTTTCTAATTGTGTTTGTGGCAGTGGGAGGCATGAAATTTCTTCTAAGGAAATACTCTTGTAAGGCTGACCATCTCTTCTATTGGTCTGATACCAACAAACCATTTCCAATCAAGATACCTTCCAAAGGTATTTTCAATGAGGCTAATTTATTTCCATTCACAATGGCTTAGGCTGTATATGGAATATACATTCCTAGTGATTATTGAATTTTGAGTACCTGCATATGACTCTCCTGCAATGAAGAATTTGTTTCTTTGGAATTACTTGAAAGCTTAAAACCAAGCCAATATAGCTTAGTAATTGTCTTGGCCAGAATTCTCATCATTGTATACATATGAATCATCTTTATTCAATGAGAATCCTACTCCTGCAGGCGATTCCAAGAATAAAAGGTTGGCTCTGGCATTCCAAGGGTAAGGATTCTTCTTGAATTTTCTATCCTCATCAACCATCACAAATGGACCAATTTCTTCGTTCAATCCCAATAATGAAGAGCATCCTGGTCCACCATTCAACCACAATACAACAGGATCAGTTGAGGGATTGCTTTGACTCTCAAGAAAAACATAATGCAATTATCTACATCATTATTCATCATACCTTAATTGTGATCCAGCTGGTAGATATCCTGAATAAGAATTAAAATTATAATCTCCCCACCCTGGAAAAACTACCTTATCAGCATCTGGGTTAACAGCATAAACTGTTCCTATGACAAATCCTACAATTAAGAATGACATCATTATATTATTATTATTATTATTTTTATCAAACACTATCGATTCATATATATCATTATGATCAATATTCCGTATGGGAACTTATGTCTACTATTTATTTTTTCCTTGTTGTATCTTCCATAGTCGCTCCCCTATCTATATTCTTAACACTGCTTCGGATTGTGGCTAATACTGCGAAGCACTTTGATTAATTAATATGATTTGTATTATTTAATATATAGAATTTTTAGAAACCTCGAATAGCCTTCAATTTTTCATCTCACAAACACCTTTCTAAACAAAGAGTTATTTGAATAAATAATTAAATCTTAATACTAATTTATTATTAATTGCCAAATGAAAAGAAAAACATACAAAAAGGAATATGAAGTTGAATCTATTGTGGAGAAGAAATTCGATGAACAAACCAAAGCCTATCTCTATTAGATTAAATGGAAGGGCTACCCACACTCATAAAATACTTGGGAACCAATAGAGCATTTATAAAACCCGCATGTCAAAAAAATGGTCAAAGAATTCGATTCAACCTAAGAGACGACTCCCACGAAAAAACACATTAATTTAGAACTCCTAAAGCAATGTCTCTTAAAGAAACTCACTGACTTTTTAATTAAAAATGCGCCTTAAGAAAATGATTTACAGGAAATTATTTTAAGTGATTTCAGCATATCATCAAATGAAAACAATTCCAATTTCAAAATGCCCAAACTCAGAGAAGAAACTAAAACTTCCACCAAGAAACCTTACTCATAATTCTGAAATGCACTACATTCTTTAAGTTCCAATTCTTGAGTAATTTTAACTTAAAACAATAAATTATTATATAATTTTTTATTAAAAGGAATAATTGTAAATTTCCTATACAACTATTACTCCTTTCTCATTCACATTCTCACCTAAATCATTTCCCATATGGTTAATTATCCATCCTATCTTTAGAGTTTAATTTATGATATGCAGGAGTCAGAAATTTTAAGATGAAACCTCCATAAAATATTATATAATTCTTCTTAACATATCATCCCACTCACTAAATATTTGTATTTCCAACACCTCATATCATTTATTTTTATATTTAAAACAAGAAATAAAATATTTTATTATTTATGTAAGGAAAATCCCAGAGAGAAAATGTTAGTTCGTTGGATCTTAATTCATCATCTATTACTTAATCTCAAAATCAAATCGTATTTAATGGAATAACCTTAAAATCTAATTCCCCAAGAACAATTCAAGCATGTCAGAAGTTAGGAATAGATCTGGGCATTTTCCAAATAAAGTAAAAAATTTTTAAATTTGTAGAGATATTGACAATTTTCGTACGAATGATTGTTACAGCGATGAAATTCTTTAATTGCGATATGAGCATTACATTAATAAAACTAATCGTAAAGATCAACATTATTTTAGAATTATTGAATGAAATATTTTAGGCAAGAAAAGAAATCATACGAAAGAATAGATAACGCCAATTATAATGTGCTTCAATAGATTCTCTTGAAAGATCGGTTTCTCTTAAATAAGGCTCTACCATTGATTAATCGGAGTATGTTAATAGTTTTATATATGTGACTAGACTCAAAAAATAAATGGATTATGCTTACAATAGGACTTTATAATATTTGTAATAATAGAAAGTAGTTGATGGATATGCTCCATAAACTATAGGAGAATGTTAGGATGTTGCATAGTTTGAAGGTGGGTTGAATAAAGAATTATCTAGATATAATAAACATAAAATTTAGAAAATAGTACTTAAATAAATTATCCTAGAGAGAAGCCTAAATTAAATTGGAGGAAGACAAAAAAAGAGTTGAATTATTAGAAAAAATTTAGGAAAGAGACTAAAGAATTGTTCATGTCATGACGAAAAAATAATAAGAAATAAAGGAGAAATACAGTACATCTAGGAAAGTAGAAAATAAAAGAATGGATACTTAAGAAATGGAATCTCAGTCTTAACCCAGAGAGAATGAAGCACAAAGGAATGTATAATAATTATCGTAAGAGTATATTAATATTAAGAAATAATGAAATCAGAAGTAAGTTGTTAATGAAAATGGATGATTAGAAAGAGAAGAAGAAAAGGGAACAAGTCTTATTGAGAAAAGAAGAATTTGAAAAATAAATTGATATGGATTGTCAAATGTAAATGGCAAAGATACAATAAAAATTGGAGAATAGTGAGAAAATGCAAAGAGAATTAATCCAAAACAAAATAGAAAAAATAAAAGAGTAAAATCTTAAAGAGTAATAAATTATGAAACAACAAAAATAACTTAAAGATAAGATATCACAAGATCATATAAATTAACTTTTAGAAAAAATGGTACAAAAAGAGAAAGACTTTTAAATAAACTAAAAGTCAATTTAGAATATAGAATAAGAGAAAAAAATAGAAATTAAATAAAAATAAAAGAAAATTAAATCTAATTAAGGAGATGTTTTTAAGGATAGAGAGTAATTATAGATTATAAGTTTTTAGTGAGAAATTAAAGCAAATAAATGAGAAGTTTACGAAGATAGAATAATTTAATAAAATAAAAAAAGTAATAAAATCAATCAATTTAGGAAGAATAAGATTACAAAATATTATTGAAATAAGAATTGAGAAAGCTCAAGGAATAAGATAAACAAGATATATTAGAGAGATAAAAAAGATAGAATGAATACAGAATGTAAGAGATTACAGAAAAATACAGATAAGTTGATGAAAAAAACTAATTAAAACAATATTAAAATGTATGCTCCTTATTTATTATGTTAGACTCTCTTATAATAAACATCTATGTAAATCAGCAAATAGGAAATATTATAAAGAAATCGAATCTATTCGCATTTATAAGAAATGAGTGATAATCTCTTTAATAAAAAAGTTAGAAAGCGAAAGTAATGAATAAAATAAATGTTAGTTTAAGTCAACTTGAAAAAAATGTCCTCACAATTAAACCTAAACCTGATAATCAAAAAGAAGACACTGAGTTTGAGGATCATACCAAATTATTGATTACAATGCTCCAAACCTCTGATGCTGAAGAAACAGTAAAAATCAAATAGAGTAGAAGACAAAATTGATGTCTTTTTCATTTTCTTTTATTTAATTTTAATATCTAAAGAATTAAATTATGAATTTCACATTTCCTTATTGTCATTGTTTATAGGGTCTTAAATTAATTTAGGATAACTCATTTATATAATTTATAAAAATATTAAAACATACTAAATCAAAATTGACATTTATTTGCGGTTTAATCAAAGTAATCTTTTGACATTAGGTCATATATTATTTTTTCAATATTTTCATATCAGTTCCCTGAGATTATTATAACATCCAATTAGCTAATATTCATTTATCGCCTTCCAGTTTTCAATTACAAAATAGCTTTACATAATTAGTGACAATGATCTCATTTATAATAATCAATCCCTACTTGTTTAATTCTATCATTTTTTTTATTTTCTTCAAATAGATTTTACGGAAACCTTTTCTTAATTGTATTTAACTTGACATTATAATTTGAGAATTTTAGAGAGTAAAATTAGTATTAGTTTAAATAAAAGAATTTCACTTTCTGTCCTTATTCTCTAATTCGACCAGGGGTGTTAATTAAATATCTATTGGATTTAGCTATTTTACCTTTGACATTCTAGACTTTTATGATTTTAAGTTAATTTTATTTTTTTAACTATTATATCATATTTATAAAAGCTAAGTTTACTTAAGTGTATTAAAGTTTTTATTGAGATTCTTGATTGTTTATCACTAACAGCTCTCACTCATTTTAATAGAAATCATAAAGTTGATGATTAGATTATTTTAAATATGAAAATTAGGTCAAATAAAAATTATATGTAATTTTTAATAAAATTCTCTTTATAAAGAAAGAACTTTAGATTAATGATTAATATCAAGGATAGATAACTTTACTCCTTGAATCAGGATGCATCAATGAATTTTATTTAATATCCTCACCAATTATTATAATTTAGTATTTTTAAACAAGATAGGAAATTTCTAATATATCAAACAGGTTGTATTATGATATCATGTCTAATTATTCACATTATCAAAAATTGGTGCTTCAATTCAGTATAAAATAATTCTGAATAAATTCATAATCTACTTATCTTAAATTATTATTAATTACTAAATTAACCTAATTATTGATTGATTATCAACATTAATTAATAACTAAAGTTTCTCAAATTTACTAATCTAGTAAATACATCATTCAAAAATCCTCTATAATGAGTTTAGTTTATTTTCTTAAATGGTTAACATATTTATGTAAATTAGATAACCATATTTGAGAATTATTTATATAATATCTCAAAAGTATTATTCAATACTAAAATTATTACATAAATGAAATTATAATATTAAAAATACGGGATTCACAAAATCACTTTGACATAACCAAGGATATCTTTTTCTTTATAATTATAAATATAAAAAATCATCATTCAAACAACCAATTAGATAATTTTCTTAAATGCCATAGATAACTACTACAAACTTATCTCGAACTGATCCTAATTTTATGTTACACTATTTAGTATAGCTTAGATTTCTGTGCAATAATTTTTATTATCCTCAATATTCTATAAAATATACTTATTGATTTTTGTACTTTGCAAAATGAACGCTTTTAGTTTAATTAATCTTTAATCATCAAAACAGAGTCATTTATAAATAAATTTAGTGCTAATCGTAGACGTTTTAACTCCTCATACATATAAGATTGATTGTAACTAGTTTAATGAATACTAAATTACAATAAAAATTTACTCTTAAGTATTTTAAAATTTATTTTTAATTTAGATCACTACGTCCTTAAAATATTATTCCAAATCACGGCAATCCTTATTTTAAATATCAATTTTTTGTTGCTATAGGATCGGTTCAAATGATTTTTTGATTTAATCAAAATTACATTTTTATGATAGAATAATCTCTTCTATAATATTCTCAATATTTGATTCATAATCGTAAAAGTTTTCGTCATTCTCATCATAGATTTGATGACTAACATATCTCTACAGAATTTGATATGTAAACTTTTTTAGACTATAAATCTCTTTCAAGTGTCTATTTCTTTTATCCTTTTGTGCTTTATTTATTAACTCTCTATATAGCATAATCATTTTACATTTTAGCATTTAATTACTTTATCTTTCCTTCCTTTTCTTGCTCAAGCATTTCAAGTTTTTTAATTGCTTATTTTAGCTCCAAATTTCTAAAACTATTCTCTAATAACCTGTCATTAAGGATTTCAATCTGACCCTGTAATTCTATGATCATCCTTTCGTATTCTGTTGAATCTGTTTGGTTTTGAATAGAGTATCTGCTGTCTTCGCCATATCTATCATTTTCCTTTATCATTTATTATATTAATTACCTAAATAAATGAATATTGAAAACCACTAATAGCACTAAATGTAAAAGAGAATAAAGGAAAGATTTGTATATGAGGCCAAATTCTTAGTCGACTAATGGCGGTAAGAGTAATCTTTATCCACTAGATTGATATTTGAATAGAGACACTTTTAAGATGGAAAAATGATCAAGTACACTCTCGACCAAGCTGCAGAAATAGTAGGAGTTTCAAGAAAAACTTTAGAAGACTATTATTATTGCTTGAAAAAAGCTGAGAAAATAAGTAAGCAATTTAACTTAGAGAGTAGTTGATATTAATTAATTTATGAATTGTAAAATGGGAGTAATCCGAAGAATCATAAAAGAACATAAGAAGTAGTCAGACGAGTAAAATATTATAGATACAAATTAATTCTTTGCTTTAGAAAATGAAAATAACGAGCCAAGAAAAAATAGTTTTGAATATGATGATTGAGTAACAATGATAATATCTATCTGTGTAAATTACCTACACTAAACAATAATAAATAAAAAATACTCTATAAAAACCATTAATACACAGTTCTTCAATTTGAGCAATAATTCTTTAGAAACATTTATGGAAATTGATAATTCATTTGATGAATTGAAGTACTTACTTTACTCTTCATCAAAAGTGATATAGTGTAAAGTTAAATAAAGTATATTATTTTTATAAGAATATTCTAAAATTGAAGAAGATTAGATTCTTAATAAAACTGCTTTGACATATTTACAAAAGAAATCATTTAATTCATGAAACAATTGAACTATTCAGATGAAATATTTCATATTTAAACAATGTAAACAAGAGACGAATTTTGATTTATTTAATTTTAGACTAATTAGGCTGGATCATTACAATGTTTTTCCAAAAGGTTGAAATAATAAATACATATATACTTTGTAAATGCTAAAATATATTGTATATAATAATTATATAAGTTCCGATAAGTTCTATATTTTACAAATAAGTTATTTAATAGAAATTCAAAAGACTTATGATAAATTTCCATTAATATATGCTATTATCCATTATACTCGCATTTTACTTTGAGTAATTAATCATGATCAAGAACATAAGAGAAATATGATAAATGAAATTGATTGTTTAAAAAAACATATTTTGCTTCTTATATTTAAATCTACATATACATCGTTTCTTGATTATCACAATTGTTAAAAATAATGGTTTCGCGATATAATTTTATAAATAAGTAGTTGAGTAACTTAAATTGACTCTACTTCAAACTTCTTCGATCAACCTGTTAAGCGATTCTATTAGTTTGTATTGTTGATGTTTAAATAGTTGCTCCTATGCTAATCGATAGCTATTAAACTTTTAAAGAGATCAACTTTTATAGTCGAACTGTACATCACTTTGATGCAATTGTGATTCTTAAGAATTTTACTATTCTTATTTTTGTGCAGAATGAGAATGAATTAGAGATATTTAGTTTTAATATGAATTATTAGATTCTCTTATAATTAAAAATTAAGAGAAAATTATCCGTTTTTAAATTGTTTTTTGCTATAAAACGAAGACAATTTTCTATTTTTCTTTCATTAATAAAATGAAATCAATCATCATTTTGGTTTTGGTTGCCACAGCCTTTGCTACAAACTTAGCAGCATTCGAGAAACTCGAAAAGAGCAAACTCGGAAAGACATTGTTGAACACAATTGCCATCCAAATGCAAACAGGTGAACCACTTGAAAGAATCTTCTAAACCCTTTATGACTTGGAAGACAGATATTAAAACGATTAAAGAGAAGATGATGCTGAAAACAAGGCATTCTAAGGTGTTTGTGATGCTGACCTCGCTGGACTCAACTAAGAACTCGCCAACCTTGAATAAAGAGACACAGAATTATAAGCCACACTTGACTAACTCCAACCAGTCCATGACTAAAAGGTCGGATAAAGAGTTGCCAAATTAGCTGAAAAGGCCCTCCTCTAAAAGGTTATCGATGAAACCACAGCCAAGAGATAAGAAGAAAACGATGACTTCGAAGCTTAAAGAGAAGAATTCACCTTCGTTTCAGGCGTCCTCGCTGAAGCAAGAAGACTCTTCACAGACAACTTATAAGCCCCAGCTTTCTTATAAAAGGGAGCTAGCGAAGCCGTCCACTATACACCATAAGTCTTTGCTTAAGTTGCTTCACACTTGAACGCCGCTGCTCACAAGGCCGGATAAATGAAACACGTCAGAACCTTCGGAAAAGCCATCAAACTTATGGCTTAATTGGCTGTCAAATCCTAATAATATGCCAACTAAGAATTAACCGGAAGAATCATCCAATTGATCGACGACTTATAAAACTAATTATAATAAGCTTTCGATTTGGCCAGAAAGACTGAAGATTCAAGAAGATAAGCCTTTGAAGCTTACAACACCCTCTTAAACAGAGACATGAACAAGCTCAACTCAGCTATTGCCAACTTAGAAGCTGAAATCTAATCATTGGCTGACTAACTCGCTGCCACCCACAGCTCATAAGATGACAACACCGCCAGACATGAAGCCAAGACCTAATAAAGAGATGACAGAAGAGCTGAATGCTAATAAGCTGCTTATGAATACTAATAAAGAAGATCCGCCAGAGATGGAGACAGATAAACTGTTTCTGACTTGATTGGTCATTTGAACACCAACATGAGAGACTTGAAAGAATACATCGCCATGAGAGTTGCTGCTGGTGATTCAGATTTAAGTTAATGAGAATATATAACAGTATATCAATTTTACATAACAGCTTCCCATTCTTATCTTTCCAAAATTAAATTACTAATAATATTTCGTAGATAATAATATGTGATAATATGCATAATATTCAGCAACAAAAGGGCTTATTTTAATGTTGTTTGCTATTAGGATTCTGCGGTCCAATCTTCAAAGTGGAGTTTACATTTTCAGTGTTTGATTTACGATTCTCTTCTATCAACTGTTCTTTAAAAACCCGTTCCCCTATTTAAATGAATGTTTCCTAATATATTCTATTCAATACTTGCACTCCCAAGTTTTCTTTGCAACTTGTTTTAAAAAAGTTAGCGTTGTATTATCTGGCCAATTCTTCAGCCATGTTATCTGATACATTCTGCTCTAAATCGCATTTATTTCCTATTATCACTCTAACTTCACAATTACATCATTATTACTTTAATCTATAGGTCCTTAATCCTGCAATTATTGAAACCATTCTTTTACTCCTTCAAAACTTTATAAATCATTAACATCATAAACTAAAAGAGCTACTTTTGCATCTCAAAATACACTAATTAAATACCCCTATAATATAAAGGTAATATTGCCTTATATTTCTCTTAACCTGCAGTATCCCATATTTAAAATTTCAATGCTTTTCCATCTATTAATATTGTTTTGCTCTAAAATGCTGCTCCCAAAGTAGGTTGGCCCTTTTCTTGAAAATCATTCTCAACAAATCTATACAAAAGGCTACTTTTTCCAACTCCTGAAACTCCTAATAAGACTACTTTTATTTCCTTTGTTTAACTCATTTATATTTATAATATTAATTATTTAGAAATTCATGAAAAACTATATGTATTACATAAACCTCTTTTCCATCCTCTATTTTATATAGAAAATATATTAATCAATTAATAACAAAATTTATAATTTATGGACATATTAGAGCCCTTCTATAAAGACAGCACAAAAATATTAGAGCCTGAAAATGAAGAATTAGACAAAGGGTATCTCTTTTTAGGCAACATCAAATCGGCCTAACCCTACAATCTAGGACCTAAAAAAATTAATGCTGTTCTGACTGTAACTAAAGAATCGAAAGTTGTTTATGAAAATCCAAACATTAAACATTTGAAATTGGATGTGGAAGATATTGAAAATCAAGATTTAGGTAAAAAATGAATTCGAAAAAATAGCATAATTTTTTGATTAGTGTCTTACATTTATAGATGAAAATTTATAAAATGGCAATGTTTTAGTTCACTGCATGGCTGGAGTCTCTAGATCTGCCTCTATTGTAATAGCCTATATTATGAAAACTAAAAAATTATCTTTTAGAGATGCCTTCTAATTTGTCAAAACAAAAAGAACCATTGTTTGGCCTAATGATGGCTTTATTGAACAATTAAAAAAGTTTGAAATACATTTAAATGATAATAAATGAACCATTTCATCAAAAAATTAAATTTGGCATTTCTAATAAGCATGATTGCTTTTATCTTTTATGTGTAACGCCATTATTATTTTCTAAATTGTTTGAATTAGATAATAATTTCTTTGAAGCCTCAAATATGTCTGACAGTGTTGGAAATTTTAACAAATTGGGCTATTTCACCTTTGCCTCTTTTTAATCTACTGCCTATTTTGAGGAGAAATTTGAATTATAACTGCACTATTTCACATAAGTTGAAGTTTAAGGTTATCGTTTCTTGATTTCAGGATTTTAAATGAATTCAATCATTTCTTTCAAAGATATTCTCTCTTCCTTTTAGACTTTAAGTAACTATTTAATTAAATATCTCAGTTAATCGTTATCAATATCTTAATCCACAGCCATATCTATAAATTCTTATTCCATTTTCAAATGTAGATTATCTAAAAAAAATCTTATTGAAAATACCTTATTAGAACATAAATTTTTCTGAGTAAAGACTGTATAAACTCATGCCTAATGACCAGATATCACAGGTATGATCTATATTTTTAGAATATCCTTAAATTTCTATTTCTGGTGGAGCGAATTGTGGTGTGGCCTCAATGAATAATTCTTTATCGCCTGCATTGTCAAGAGGTTGGATTGAAGAGAAATCACAAAGAGCAAACTTTAGCTTATTCTACAATATCTTTTTGAAAACAATATTATCTGGCTTTACATCAAAATGAATGTAATTCGATTAATGAATTTCGATTAAAGCCTCAGCTATAGTTTAAGCAATTATAAATATATTTTCCTTAATTAATTCAATGGAAAGCTAGGTGAGATTGCCATTAAAAAGTTCGTATTCTGTAAATAAAAAGCCTCCAGGTATATTCTCAATTGGGTATGTTGTATTTTTCCATTTAAAATCTTTAAGTTAATTCAATAGATCATAATTTTGCTTATAATATCGATGTTAGATTCGAACCGCTACATCTTCTTATTGCTTTATTTAATCAATAAACTTTTATGATTAATAGACTTTAGCACTAGCTCCAGATCCAATTATTTAATCGATGTGGTATTCAATATTTTTATATTTTACAACCTTGTCTTCTTGTGATACTTTCACCTTCCAATTATTATTCATTTCTATTAACGATACTTTGTATTAAATTCTATAAATTAATATAATGATTTTTCCTTAATAACTATTTTCATATATCATAATCACATTGTTTTTGTAAATATAAGCGAATAAGAAATAAATAAATATAAAAATATTTTATCTGAATGTTAATCATTTCATGCTCTTTATTAAATTTAAGTACTAAATTATCCAATTCTCTGCTGATTCTATTAGATTGGATTATTTCTAAATGATGATTAAATCTACTAACTTTATTATCCAGGTGTTTATTACATTTAACTAGATTACCTAATATTGCAAGCAAATCCACTTCCTGGTGTGGCATTAACAATTTATTTTTAGGGTTAATTATTTTGATTTTGAGAAATGCTCTAGCGATTTTAATGTTGCTGTGGATTATTCGAGTCCTTTTAAATAAAATAGTTACCATTTAAAGGCTACTTATTTTATGCATTATTTTATTATTAATTCAAGTCATTTTAAACATTTGTAAAATTGACATTCTATGGTTTAGGAAAAAAATTCATAGCGCCTGATTATTGATTCCCTTTCTTTTAGTTATTATCTTAAGAAGAATTTTAAATCTATTAGGCAGGATTTTTTACTGCTACTTTTTCAATAGTTTCTTCTTTTTAAATTATATTATTTTTGTTTTGCAATTATTAATCATAAGGTGAACTAAATTAATTTTGGTTATTATTTTAATAGAAGTTGCCATTATTCTATATATTTTGGGAAAGTTATGAAGCTCTAGAATTTTAAGTTGTACCTTATTACTATTCAAAAATGGGTTTGCTTTATTATTATTAATCATAAGGTGAAACATTTTATTGCTTCTAGTTATTATTTTAAAGAAAGTTGTTATTCTATTGATTTGGAAAAGCTGATAGAGCTGGCTAATTTAACAATTTTCCTGATTGTTATTCAATAGTATTGTTGTTTTATTACTTTTGATCGTATGTTTAAATACTTTATTATCTATAATTAGTATTTTAAAGTTAATTGCCAATATATGTACTTACGAAAGGTCTTTTTACTACTTAGTTTTGCTATGGGTCTTCTTTTTTTTAATTTGTATTTTGGTTTTATTATTATTCATCAATTTTTTAATTATTCGTTTAAAGGAAATAACCTTTTTATTGGTTTTGCAAAGCTTAAACAGGGATTTAATTTTAATATCGTAATTATTATTATTATTATTATTATTATTATTATTATTCTTTTTATTGAAAAGAATTTTTGGATTATTGTTCCATGGATTAAAAACTACTCTACTTTTATCCATTATTTTAAAGAAAACTGTCAATCTTTTAATTGTTTGATAATTTTGATACTGCCAAATTTTAATTTAATGTCGTATTCTGGGTTTAATGGATTGCTTAAGAATATTTTGTATCCTAGCTTAAGGAAGCTATTTAAGTTGAACCTTGTGGTTTAAATTATTATGAAGGATTAATTGCAGGTCTAATCGAAGTAGGATTATCACTAGTTTTAATCACCTACGGGGAACGAAAATCAAGTTTTTTAGTGGGTTCTGATTGTTCACTATTCCTTCCACGTGAATAATTTAGATCAGCTTTTTATTATTGTTATTCTACTACTGGAGGTTTAAACGCATAATTCTTTCCAAAAAAATTTGGATTTGGCAACTATATATTATTAAAAACTCTTCCATCAGGCTTGCCCTTTATTCCAAATTTATCATCACTATCTCTATCTCTAACTTATGATGTTCCTCTCAAATCAGAAACAACCTGATTAATATTATACCTTTTTCGAATATCAATTTGAAGCATATTTAAGAGAAGAGTTTTATATTTCCTTTCTATTTGCAAACAATTATTAATTTTTTGATCGATACTTGCCTAAATCGAGTTTTTTATTTTAATATAGACTTCTTATTCATTTCGGCCTAACTTAAATAATAAATTACCATTAAATAATGGTTGTCCTGTCAATAATTCATAAATCAAAGCTCCAAATGCCCATACATCAACTGTTTATGAGTATAGAGTATCCTATCCATTCACTTATTCTGGAGCAAGATAATAAGCAGTACCAACTTTTTAAGTTTTAAGCACATCTATTTATTTTATTGTACCAAAATCGCAAATTTTATATAAATCTTATGTTTTTCCGTTGTCATTAATCTAAAAAATCAATATATTTTCAGGTTTCAGATCTCGATGTGCATAACCTAAATCATGAATTTCTTTTATCCCATTCCCTATTTCTTTCATAATAAACCTTACTTCATCTGGTTGAATTGTACCTCTGTAAATAATCCGATCGTATAAACTTTCTTTACAATATTCCATTACTATGTAATATTTTCGATCTATTCTTTCAAAATTAAGAATATTGATTAAGTTTTTATGTTTTTTTCTTCTCATCATATCCAATACCTTTAATTCATCATCATTTATGCTATCTTATATTTTAATTGCTATTATTTATTAGGTGCTTTTATTTATTCCTTTTAAAACTTTTCCATAAGAACCTTATCCAAGTAGTTCTTTGAGAATATATGTATTTTATTCTATATTAACTTCGTCCCCTTCTCTCATTTCTATTTCTATTAGAAATAAATATAAATAATTATGTTTTTTTTAAACTGAGAAATACATAAAATTGTGCTATGTTTAAATTTAGATATCTTTAAACTTTGAATAGATTATGTATTCGCATTAGAAAAATTAAATCGATATAGTTAAACACTAAACTAATAGATAGATTCATTAGCAGAGACAAAAGAAGTTAAATTAAAAACAATGAAGAAATACATGAAAATATATCTTAATAAATTAGTTGTGATAATTAGAGAATTTATAATTCTTTATTAAATCAGATAGAATTAAAAAAAAGCCAAAATAAATAATGAAATATTGCCAATCATTCAGAAATTATTGAGGAATATATTTTTTAATAGATCGATGGTGAAATGGAGATCAATAATGTAAGAAAAAATCAAGCATCTACAGGAAATGTTCTACAATTAATAAGATATTCCAAAAAAGGGTTTACTTGATTCTATTTTTTTGTTTTTATCAATAATTGATTAACATTAATTTTTTAATGAAATATTTTCAATAATTATATTATATGTTGATAAGAATATTATAAGAGAAATTATTATGGCCTTTAAATGTTAAAATATCATAAAAAAAAAAGAATCTGAAATATTTTATTGATAAACAAGTGATAGAACAACTGATTGTAAATGCAGAAGCAAATCCCTTTTAGAAATTAATTAATTTAAATCTGTAAATAGAATAATGTTTAAGAGTCAAATTTCATTTAATTAAAGTTGTTATCAAATTTAGAATAGACATAGAGTATTATTATAATATAAACCAAGATTGTGGAAGAGCAGATATATAAGTTGACTGAGAATTGAGTAGATAATGCGAACATACTGATGTTTACAGAGTTTAGAAAAACAATAAGAAAAGAATACATAATTTACAAATTAATTAGTGATTTTATTTAATATATTCTTTTTTGTTTTATTTAAATATTGGATATGCAACTATACAGTCTAACTTTACAAAAAAGCACAGGAATACAAAAGGCTATATACGGAAATTTCTCAGGACCAAAAGCCCAAGAGATTGTTGTATCCAAAGTAAAGCATATTGAACTTCTGAAGATTAATGAGAGCAAGTATAATGATGTTGTATGATGTTTAGTGGTAAATTGGAGAACAATAGCATCACAAGAAGTATTTGGAATAATACGTTCAATTCATTCATTCAGATTTCCTGGAGTACATATTTTAATAAAATTTTAGAATAATAGAGATAACTTGGTTATTGGTAGTGATTCAGGTCGTGTAGTAGTATTGGGTTTTGATGGATTGAAAAACATGTTTGTAAAAGTGCACTAAGAAACTTATGGAAAAACAGGATGCAGAAGGATAGTTCCTGGTTAATATTTGGCATGTGATCCTAAAGGGAGAGCATTTATGATAAGTGCTGTAGAAAAACATAAATTTGTATATATATTAACTAGAGAAAATGAAAAAATAACAATATCCTCTCCTTTAGAGGCGCCAAAATCTCATACTATTGTGTTTGATATTGTAGGGTTAGATGCTGGTTATGATAATGCTTAATTTGCAGCAATAGAATCAGATTATGGGGATTGGCAAGACAAGGACAGTGCAGTTTGCACAGGTATATAAACAAAATTCTTAACAATATATGAAATGGATTTTGGATTGAATACTGTGAGAAGGTAAAGATCGGATCCTATTCACATTTCTTCTCATGCCTTATTAATGGTTCCTAATGCACCTGATGGCCCAGGAGGTGTTATAGTGTTATGCGAAGATTTCTTGCATTATCGAGGGCCAAAGAATTAGGAAATGAAAGTGCCATATCCAAAAAATTAAGGAATGCCTACTGATAGAGGGGCAATGATAAGTTCATTTGGATTTTATAAATAAAAAGTAATGATCATTAATATATATCGTAGTCATCCTTTTTATATTTGTTATAATCAGAGTATGGTGATTTATTTGAATTATCATTACAATTCACTAAAGATGAGGTTCATTCAATAAGAATGATCTATTTCGACACTATTCCAGTGGCTAATAGTCTATGTTTGATGAGAAGCAAGCATTTGTTTGCAGCTTGTGAGAAGGGAAATCATTGTTTCTATAAATATTAAAGAGAGGAAACAAACACAAATATAATCTGTACAGATTCCAGTATGGCTTTGGAAGAATAAATATTTTTTAAGCCTTAAAAGCTTAAGCATTTGTCACTCTTATAGGAACTCAATAATTTTAGTTGTATTAGTGATTTGAAGGTGGCTGATTTAGCAAAGGAAGGTAATCCATAAATATATATTTGTTGTGCTGCTGGTAATAGATCAACTTTAAGAGTCCTAAGACACGGTTTAGAAATAACACAATTGGCTAATACTAATTTGTAAGCAAAACCATTAGGAATTTGGACTTTAAAGGAAAGATATGAAGATCCAGTCCATAAATATATAGTGATATCGTATATTAATAAAACTCTAGTCTTGAAAATTGGAGAAAAAGTCGAGCAAGTTCATGATACTGGATTGGAGGGAACAAAGCAAACAATTCATGTAGGAACATTGATAGATGATTCCTAAATTCAAATATTAACAAATGGATATCGACATATTAGAAAGAATAAGCCTCCTACTGATTACATTATAGATGGTAAGGTAATCAAGGGAGTTTCAAATGAAAAATAAGTAGCATTCGCCTTAGCTGGAGGAGATGTGTATTATTTTGAATTGGATACTACAAGTTTTTAAGGAAATTTGATAGAAATTACAAAGGATTAAATGGATAATGAAATTAAAGCCTTGGAATTGGGCCCTATCGAAGAGGGAAGATAGAGGTGCAAATTTTTGTGTGTGGCTTTGAGTGATTAGACTATTAGATTATTGAGTTTGGAACCTGAATCTTGTTTTGAAAGAGGAGCCATGCAAGCTTTGCCCAGTGAGGCTGAGAGCTTGTGTATGATGGAGATGGCATCTGAATAGGAAGGTTAATAAAGTTTTACTAAATAGTTATTTTTATTTATAGGGTTAAATAATGGTCTTCTAATGAGAACTTCAGTTGATTAATTGTCAGGAGGTTTGTCTGATACAAGAACAAGATATTTAGGAACAAAGCCTGTGAAATGTCTCAGAATTAATGCTAATTAACAATAGGCGATGTTGGCTTTGTCCTCTAGATCATGGTTATGTTATAATAATAGTGGTCGAATATTCATGCAACCATTATCTTATGATTATTTGGATTATGCTTCAGCATTCCTTGCTAAAGAATTTTAAGGTATTGTTGGTACTAATTAAAGTACTTTAAGAATCATCATGCCAGAGAGATTTGGTGAAATATTTAATTAGTAGTCATTAGATTTGACATATTCACCCAGAAAAATGATTTTTCACGAACCTAGCAAGGCAATATTCATTATTGAATCTGACAACCGATCTTATAACAATGTTGAATAGAAGGTATAAGAAGTCTACTAGACTTAAGAAATACCAGAACAATGGAATTAAGTTTAAGCTGAACAATATAAATGGGCATCATTGATTCGAATAGTCGATGCCACTAAATTGGAAACTATTAATGTACATCAATTCTATGAGAATTAACACGCATGTTCTATTTGTTACATTTAATTTGCTGGCTACCCAGAGTAATACGTCTGTGTAGGAACAGTGAAAGATCTAGTGAATGAGCCGACTAGAAAATTCAGTCAAGGATTCATACATACATTTATCTATGATAATAAGACTTTAAAGTTAAAGCACTCAACACAAATTGATGAAATCCCATATGCTTTGGCTGCTTGGAGAGGCAGATTACTAGTTGGAGCTGGTTGCAATCTTAGAGTTTATGAGATGGGAAATCAAAGAATTTTGAAGAAGGCAGAAATCAAAAATCTGAATTCATTTATTACTTCAATTATGGTCAAAGAAGATAGAATTTACGTGGCTGAAGTCTCTGATTCTATTCATCTTCTTAGATATAATATTAGAGATCAGACATTTATGGAATTGGCAGATGATATACTACCTAGATATGTAACTGCAAGTACTGTTCTTGATTATCATACTGTTATTGCTGGAGATAAATTTGAAAATATTTTTGTTAGCAGAGTTCCGTTAGATATCGATGAAGAATAAGAGGAGCATCCTTATGAATATAAAATGAAAATGGATCAGGGGTGCATGAATGGAGCTCCATTTAAAATGGATTAGATTTGCAATTTTTATGTAGGTGAAGTCATCACTAGTCTCCAAAAAATAGCACTAGTTTCCACCAGTTCTGAAGTAGTTGTCTATGGAACATCCATGGGATCAATTGCAGCACTTTATCCATTCGATAACAAAGAGGATATCGATTTCTTCCTCCATCTTGAAATGTATCTTAGAGTTGAGCATCAACCTCTATCCGGAAGGGATCATATGTAATTTAGATCTGCATATGGACCTTGCAAAGTAAATATTTCATATTTATGAATTCTTTAGTCTATAATCGATGGAGATTTGTGTGAATAGTTTGGAAATATGTAATATAACAAATAGAGAACTGTCGCAGAAGAATTTGATAGGACTCCAGCGGACATAATAAAGAAACTTGAAGACATAAGAAATAAAATTTTATGAATGTTTTTAATTATGCAATAATAAAATACAACATCAATCATTACTTATTTATTATTTTAAGCATATCAATAAACAATTTTGTTATAGTAGCAAGATTTTCGAATAAATTTCAATTGAAACATAATAATTTTTTATTTTAAAACAATAATTTGATTTTGATGACAGAGATATCCCTGGATAAGAAAAAGAAATTATATGTTTTAAAGAAATTTGATAGCGTTTCTCCACTTAAAGAAAGAGAATAAACTTAAAATATTTTCAATGGTAATTTTTATATTAATATTAAGGAGAGCAACTTAGATTTCTTCATGGTATTTTAATATATTCATTAAATTCTCAGTAGGTTAGTAATAAAATTTACAATAAAGATAAATTGTTGGCAAGCTCGAATAATTTTTGAAATAAAGAGAATAATTTGAAACAGTACAAAAACAACAAAATTCATAATACAATTCGTCCAATTCTACGAAAATGTTCGCTAAGAGAATTACTCTTAGGAATTCTTCTCAGAAATCTCTATTTATCAGTTCCGAATAAAATCAGGAATAAAAATTAAAAAAATAAAAGGATTATTAAATAGTGTCTCAGCAGTTTTTATTAGATTTTGTTAAAAAGACAGAAGTATAACAAATAACCATAATAGGATAGAATAAAAATGAATAATGAAATCGAGGAAGATTTAAAAAGGCTAAATGATAAAAATAATCAACTTAGACAAACAAGAGCCCTAACAAAATTCTAATAATAACAATAAATTTGGGAACAACAAGTTGAAGAAGCAACGAGAAAATCAAAAAAATATGAGTATGATTCTGTCATCAGAAAATCAACTTGTAATAAATCTGAGTTTATTTTAGTATTTCGTGAAAAAGTTGAATAAATCGAACATTTTTAAGCCTTAAAGCAATAAGAAGGTACTGCAAGGGCTTCTGAATGGTATATGACATTAAGGGATAATTTAGGATAATCAAGATAATTATCTTAGGAGGAGAGAGAAAAAAAAAGAAGTGCATATCAGGATCCATTCAATTAGAATACTTATTATGTTGATTCCTCGAACAAACCAATTGAAATAATAAGAAATTAACAATAGTCAACTTCTGTTTCCAAAAGTGGATTTAGAAGAAACAGCAGTTTAAGCTAAATAAATATCTTTAAATTGCCTCTCTATAAAACAGTCTAAACAATAGGGGAAGACCTTTGTAATCTATAAATTGAAGGATAAAATGTTTTATAAAAGGAAACTGAATTAATAAAACATTATAACTCGAATGAGAAGTTCAGACTTTATAAATTAGAGAAGGAAACTGAAACAGAGGTCTGACTTAATATAGTATTATTAATATAATTATACACACTTTTATTTAATGATAAATATTGTAAAAACTTTCATCATTATTCTAGTTCCCATTAAGTTTATTGTTAACAGCCAAAGGATCAGATGTGGTATATTTAAAAGATTGATAAGTATAGGTAATTGAAGTTAAAGCTGGAGATACATATGATGGTAAATTAGAATTATTAGATAAATTTATGAATGTTAAGTTGACAAATGTTAAGCATACTTCAAAAGTAAATAATATTCTTATTATCTTTATCAGGATGGGAATTCATTTCATGGAATCAAAGAATTACTCATTAAAGGAAATTCAATTAAGTATTTTAGATTGGTATGAATAGTAATATTGATATTTAAGAATCCTGATGCTGAGAAAAAAGCTTAAGAGGAGGCTGAGATATGTAATTTTCCAATATAAAGTAGATGAGTAGCAATAATAGTAAAAATAATAAAAGTTAAATGAATAAAAATAATAAAGAAAATCATAAAATTAAAAACCAAGAGGAAAATCATATCCTTAAAAGCAACCTTAATAAAGAAGATGAGTTATTTATTTTATAGTAATGCATTAAATATTTTTATACATAACTCCTCAAACTCCCAATTAATATTTCTGAAAATTTTTACGTCTACCTTAATCATAATTTATTAAATTATTAATATTTACCTATTTTTATTAATCATCTGATACAAAAACTCTATTTGGGATATATTATAATACAAAAAGTATAAATTATATATATAATAAAGGGTTTATTTAGATCAATAAATTCACTGATTTAAAATCAAATCGTTCAATATTGAAAGTTTAATCTATTATATTTAAAATAAAAACATATCTAAGTACTTGATATTCAATTTTCTATTTTAAATAGTCTTTAAAGATTATTTCAAAAGGATTATTCCATTTAACAACAAAAAAACAACTAGTCTGTAATTCTCAGAATAATAATAATTTATCTAGTCAATTACAATATACTGTGAGCATGGAAAATGCTTATGTTATTCGCTCAAAAATTCAAATTCACGAAAATCGAGTGACAATTGATACTGAGCCCAAATCTAAAGTTGTATTTTGCTTACTTAAGATGCGGTGTAAATAATTATTTAAGATGTATGAATTAATTTATAAATGGATTTTAAACTATTTCCTTATTTTTTTTAATATGTGAAGCGTCAAATAGGAATAATATTTGATTTTTAAACTGGAATCTTTCTGATATTACAAATACAAATTATCATAATAATTTAATAATATTCTAAAAAATGGCTCTAACTGTATCAAAATATTAACAAATAAGTATTTTATTTGAAGTCATTTTTGGCAATTAATCCCTTGTTATTTCTTTTATCCTTATGTATATATAGTGAATGTTATCATAATAATACACTAATGTTCCATTTCAAGTCATTTTTATAACTTATTTTGCATCAAAAATTGATTATTACACCTAAATTATATTTTATTGAAGTTGAAAATAGTTATTATTTTGACATTTTTCATTTTTATTGAACTATAAACTTTGATTGTACTTGAAAATATTGTTATAAGTTGATGCTTTTAAAAGCTTCTTGAATACATTAGCCAACTTTCTGATGGCAAAATTAAATAATGTTCTATGAATGCATAAATCCATACTCACAGGACTGATTTTTAAAAATGTAGCAGGTTTGTCTTTGCATAAAAAAAGTTATTGAATGAAAAATTTTAGGAGGATTATAGGAAATAATGTGATAAGATAATTTAAGAGGTTGAAATTTTATAATTTTTTTTATTTATAATATCTATCATGATTATTAGTCATTTTTTCAACATCGCTTCACATTTGTCTTTCAATTATTTAACAATCTAACTATTTTAATTTAAAATTAAAGCTTTTTCATAACAAATAAGCTTCTTGAAACTACTGAAGAGATTATATCATCCTATATTTTTCTTACATTATTAAACATGACCCTAAAATGTCTAAATTTATTACAACCTTTTGATTATAATATCCAAAATTCATCTGGTTTCTCATATAAGGCTTTGTCATAGAAAGTAATAGCTTCTTAATATTTTTCCAATTACTTTAAACAGTCGCCTAATTAAATTACTAAATTCTTTACCTTTCTTTGATAATATCTAGAAATTTTAAGGATTATAATTTAACGCCTAATCAAGCCAATCAATCGATTCTTTATATTATTATAACTTATATAAGGAATTTCCTATTCTTTATGATATTAAAGCTTACCTATTCCATACAAGGATTTACTATTAGTCGAATCTAATTTCCAAACTTATTTAAACTGCATAAGAGCATCATTGAATTAGTTTGTAGAAAATAAACATTCACCTAACTAATTTTAGTTGTTACCTTTCCATAACATTACATCTATATTATTTGGATTGCACCTTAAAGAAGTATTAAAAGAACTTAAGGCTTATTGGTAATCTCCTTTTGTAAATAAAGTCAAACCTGACTTATAGAAACATATTTACCTTCAATGAAATAGTTTGTTGATTCAGCAGACTATTAGCAAGATGGTTTTTAATAAGTAGTTTCTTTAGATGCAAGGTTTATTAATTTTTAGTTTAAAGTATCTTCTAGATTTTGGGTTATAACTTCTATTTCTGTCAGATCTTTTTTAACATTGCTTAATTCCACTAGTTAGCCTAGCATTTAATTTATTTAATTGCTATTTAGAATCTACAATCTTGATTAGGATATTTAAAATTAGGCCCTAATGTTATCTTTTATTGAAAAAAAAAGAAATGCTATTTTATCTCCTAAATCCCCAAGAGTCTTAATTATATCCTTTTCACATTAAGTTGATATATCTTGAATGAAACTCGGTAAATAAGAAATTAAATCTTAATCTTTTTGATGACCACAATGGAAACTTTATTTATAGCATTCATTGCAAGATAAGCGTGACATTTCACAACAGTTCAGATTAATACAATACCTTTCAACTTGCGAATTGTGATTTAGGATTGGACATTTCATTTTTATAAATATTATCATGAATATTATTAGAAAACAATTTTCAAATAGAAGGAACAAATAAATTACCAAAAAGAAAATTTAAGGTTAGGTCTTTAATAGTTTCTTTATTCTTAAGAGTAGGAAAACTAAATATAAATATTAACCTCCTCAACCTTCTAATTGTAAATTATGTATTTTAGAAATAAAATTACTTATAGATGATTCATATTCTTTATCGAAAGTAATATTGGTTTATTCATTCGTACCTATTAATTAGTTTTAGAGAGATATTTGAAGTTGATTAGGATTGCACTGTTTTAAGATTGAGATTATTTAAGTTATAATTTAAGAGAAAGATGGTGGCATTGAAAGCAAGAAGTAAATGATGTTTCCCTTAAGTTTGGTATATTATTTCTGATACCTTAATATGATTTTGTATATTTGTGTGGGATTTTATGTTTGTGTGTGTGTGGGCTTATCAGAGTTTCTCTCATTATTGTAAATGAAATTGTTCAAAAAGCATTATTAAAG